GAAGAAGAAAGAAAGTCCATAATGGTGTGGCAAGAGGAATGGGACGAGATGAGACGGGTGGCGCAGTGGACGAAGTCGCTGATTGCTAATCTGAGAAGATGAACTGCGAGCAACAGCGTTTGGATTACTTCCTGACGCAAATGCTCACAGGACATAGCTGCTTCAGGGCATACTTTTACAATTTTGGAAAGGCCGAAAATGACAAATGCTAATAGTGTAAACTATCGGACACAGTCTCGTACAATCTGAGAGAGAGAGAGAGAGAGAGAGAGAGAGAGAGAGCTAGGAAGTAGGTTGCAATCAGTTACGGAACGGGTGGAGAAAATGCTTAGGTCCTCAGATCTGTGGAGAGTAGTTCAGAGATATGTAAGGAGAACGCATCGAGCAAAAAGACAATAGAGGGAATGTAAAGGTAGTGGGGGCAAATATATTGTTAGACAGGAAGTGCGATCTTTAGAGGCCACATTAAACAAGGAAAGATAGTCTCTCTCCTTGTTTGACATCAAATTTAGTTGGGTTATGTTATTGTTTGTCCCAAATGTCACATGAAATCTTATTTATATTGAAGTTTTTTAACAATTGTGTCGCATTTTAGACTCTTATCATTAATAATTAATTAAAACTTTCTCGTCTAAGACACATTCTGAAAAATATTATATAGCTACTGGTGATAAGTGTCGGAAAATTTAAATTTCGCGCATTCGCATTTCCGGATATGTCCGCCATCAGAGGCCACTTTTTTGGTCTCCTTTTCATAAGGATTAGATTCCCTCTTTTGTCTTATTGCTCGATGGGAGAACGTTGTACAGAAAGGAACAAAAGAGTATGCGACCTGAAGGGAGGCAAGGTACCCAGGAGCAAGCAAGAAGATAGGTCAGAATAAGAAGGGGCGATATTGAACATGAACAGGGAGGAACAGAGGGAGCAAAGAATTCAGTTGTAGTGAGAAAGTGCTTGAATTCGTGAATGAGAAATAGGTTCCTTATGAAATCAGAATTTATGAATGGCTAGCCTAGCTGTAGCTAATTGGATCGCCAACCTTCGGAGGGAGACACCACAGTAAGAAGAATTTTGGAAAATGAGATTATTATAAATCTTTATATTTAATTTTGGTAGATAATGACATGAATAGTCATTACATTTAGATCTAATATTTATTATATTTACAGTCAGGCTAAAATTTTAGAGATTTAATTTGTTCAACGTTCACCGATTTATCCAAAATGTAACAAATATGTATTCCATATATCTGGAAATAATATTATTTACTGCGTCGTTAAAATATTTTCATTTTTCCGCATTATTCTTCGTGAAATTGAATCTATTGAATGAATGATATTGATAATTGAATCGATAATGTTTTTATGATGTTCAATTAATTTGCTGTTAACAATGTTCCGGTTTTTTCATATTTATTAACAAAAATTCGAATGCTACGGCTTTACACACATAGATAGGAAATACTATTAACTATAGAAAATATTGTTAATATAATTATTAAAGGTAGTTTTATAGTACTACAAGTTATGGAATTATTTCCCACGAAAGAAATTCGCAAATACGAACATACTTTTGCTTAGGGGAAAGAAGGGTAATTTGGCGAACATAAGTCTGAAAATTGTGTGGAAGGTGGACGAAAGCAGATGAGCCAAAATATGCGTTTTTTCAATAAGTGAAAAAAATTATCTTAAAATTAAACACAAAAGTAAATGTAGCTTTTATTAATAACAATTATCTATGAATAAGAATATAGATCTATAAATCTCAAGCAAGGAGTTTTCATCTATACCCCAATGATGATTGGACAGAGTTTTTAATATGGTAAGATTTGTCATGCACTTAGTTTTGAGATATTTTAAATGGCATTTCCAAGTAAGTTTACTATCGAATGTAAGTTCTAAAGTAACATTTATGGTAATTTTAGGATTTATAGTACTGGCTGTTTTTTTTTTGTCTTCTCAACAGAAAAGTTAAATCTACTTAGTGAACTCCATTCAAGCAAATGGTCAGTAGCATTCTGAAGTAATTTGCAAGTGTCAACAGTGTCTTTGCCTTGACAGAAAATTATTAAATCATCTGCGTAGAGTGCAAACTTGACTGGAAGCTCAATTTTCTATACATATCGTTTAAATTAAGTATAAAGCATGTAGGACTCAATACCGACCCTTGGGGAACGTCCTTAGTTTGTTTGAAAGTGCTAGAGATTTTGCCATGTTCTCTTACGTAAGAGATTCTATTTGTTAGAAATTAATTAAACTTTGAAAATAAGGCTATTATCGAGCACAAGTTAATTAAATCTAGCCCAAGTACTTTCGCTTAAAAATAGCATCTTTAGGGGCATTTCGTCAAAATGTGAACTATCCGGCAAGCGTAGAATGTGGAAACATTAAAAATAACATAAAATTGTACAAAACACTACACTAAAACGAGGACAAATTGTTTAAAATTACTTAAAGATTCTACGCTACATTCTCTGTCAGTATCTGGAGGGATAATACATTATCTCTCCTAGATCTCCTAGATTTAATTAACATGTGCTCGATAATAGCCTTATTTTCAAAGTTCATTTATTCGAGCATTCAACCTCATTTCAGAAATTAATTAATAAATGAAGATATATGCCCAGATATACTATACTCCTCGAGTTTAGCTATAATAAGACGCCTGTACAGAGTATCGAATGCTTTTTCGATATCAAACGAAACAGCTAATACGTCTTGTTTGCACTGGAAGGCGTTAATGATTGATGTTTGAAGGACTGCTAGATTATCTGCTGTACTTTGAGGTGTCTAAAACCTGATTGTGCCAAATGTGGTTAAGATTTGGAGATTTACCGGATTCTATATAAAGATCATCAACTTCAGGAACTTTTTTCTTTATAAAATTTATATTCGATTTAATAAATAATTGAATTTAGATAGTTTTTTATATAACAGGTACTTACTATTCTTTTTCTGACAAAAAGTTTTGATATTGTCTTCCTTGGCGTAATGACGTCATCCACAAAACTCATACTATCAAAATGAAAATCTAACTCTAATTTTCATGAGGGTATTTTGATTTTACTGAGCAATAATATGCCAAAATTATACTTATCTACTGTATGTGATGCTTCTACATTTTTCTTCTCTTGTAGATACGTTGAATGTATGCTATTTATTTTTCTTTTCACTCATTCTTTACCACTGATGTTCATCATGTCGCCACCCTTTATAAGCACTATTTGTCTTATTAATGTCGCGGTAATCTATATCCTTATAGTGTTGTTAACTAGCTTATTAGGATGTCCAGACCAGCGTGACGATAGAAATACCAGCTTACCGTTTTCTCCGAAGACAAAACTTGACATTTTTAAATAATACGTTTTTATTTTCGTTTCACCTACATTCTAATATCTATACAAACTATCGAGTTAGGTTAAACTACCGGACTGACTTGACAAATTGAAACATAGTCATCCTCATCTAACGCAAATGTTCAATTTGTATCATCTATTTCTGGATCAGGCTCTTGCATGTATGTTTTGCTGAGGTTTGATTATGTAAGTTGTGTGTTTAAGTGGGAACAATTATTTCTAATAGGAGAATTATGTAAGATTCCTTGTTCCCGATAAGGAAGAGCATGCATACTTTACAACCTCAGGTCCCAAAAACACTGAAAAGATCTATCTTCTTCTTACAGTGCTTATCAGTTACGGATGTTGACTACCAGAATGGCTTTTCTTAACTTCTGTGGTCGTAAAGTTATACCAATCTCGGAGATTGCGCAGCCACAATATCCTCCGATTTCTGGGCCTGAGTGATTGTACAGAATGATTTGGAGCAAGCTGTACCGAGGTTCATTACGCATTACAATACTGTCCGTCCAAGAGATTCTCAGTATGCATTTGTAGCATTTGTGTTTGCTTCAAGATGCTTGCCTCGGACAAGATAACGCAATTACTTGGAAGCTGTAGATCGTGACTATTAAAAATCTTTTTTATTTTGATGAATGCTGATCTTACCTTCTAAATCCTTACTTTTATCTTCGTCGAATGGTTCCATAGATCATTTAAATTTGTGCACAGATAAGAGTAATTGGTGACCCGTTTTATAAATTGTTGGTTGACTAACAGTTGTCCATGTATAATTTTGTTTTTACTGAACTTTGTTATTTACCATATTCAAGGAGTATGTTTTTATCGATTGTATTGAATTTCTGAACTTTTTGTTAATTAAAGTGAAATCGATCTGATTTCGAACAACATTTTGTGGTGTCTCTTGAGGTAATCACCGTCTTCTCTGTGGTAATCTGAAGTATATGTTGGTAAGTACTCGTTCCCCTTCCACTGCAAAAGTCCTCAATCGGTTTCAGCGTTCATTTCACTCTTCTAGATCCCACAATAAAATCGCCTATGGTTATTATTTCTTTCCTGTTTATTCTTAGTTATGTCACGATATAATGAATGATTTTCATTGTATCATAATCAATAAATTGATCCACTTGTTATCCACTAAACTTAGTATCGGCCATCTTGAATGTATACATAATTGATTCATCAGCAGGTACTGAGACTCGGTGTGAACTCGACTCACATACTAACTCATATCCGAGCAGTAACAAATTAAAAGTATATGTTAATATTTCTGAGATGTCTGAGTACCGATCCGAGTACTCACCCGTTAATGTAAATGCCGATTCTCATATCCAAATCCGAGTAAATTAACTTATTGGTACTATGAGTATACGATATAAGTAGTAAAATAAACAATAAGAAAGTACGTATTTAATGTTCAAGATCAGAAAATAAAAACATAAAAAGAAAATCTCGAGAACAATAAATAACAATAATAATCCTTATGAAAACATGACAATGTAACTGTTTTATTTAGTAAGGTTTCGACTTTAAAGATTCAAAATACAATCTAAGTATGTACATAATTATACATTACAGAATTTCCACAGTCACAAACTTTCTTAGTGAAAAATAAATTATTTTATCATTCCTTGCTACTTCCGAATCATGCAAGATAACTGTATGTGTCTTTCTGGCCATCAGTTCTTTCCAAATATTCCTTTTCGATTAGAATATCTATACATTTCTGAAAAAGAAAAGATATAAAGATTAATGGAATGTTTCGTAATTATGGACCAAACAAACGATGAATGAAGATTGCTTTAATTTATTATAATAAAGATTTTATGCTAAACATACAGTGTGTATCAGCTAAATGGAATAACGTTTTGACTGCCACTCCCGATATCGTTCTCAAAAAAGATTAATATTAATAAAAAAATTCTACGAAGATGTCTAACCGAAGTTATTTGTTATAGGTTATGTCATTGCCTCGATCTTGTAGACAGCAGCGTGTAAATGGTTGAAAAAATCTGAAGGTGGTGTTTTTATCCTAGGAATATCAAATTCTAACTGTTTTATGTTTTTTGTTATATGTTTGTCTAAACTGGACAGCTAAAATGGACAGCCGGAGTGTGACGTCACATCTGTCATATTGTCATTACTTTCCAAACAAAAGTTGAAATGTCAAATCTCAAGACTTTTTAATTTCTATAAAGTTAACATTTAGCTTCCTCTGCTACTTTTTATTTTAATTATAGTATTCTTTACATTAATACCATCACAATTCAGTGTTCTATTTCTATGAAATATAGTTTAAAAGTATACATTAAGGAAATTCTAACCTTACTTTATTGATGCATGCATTTTATTGCTATTTTTATAAAACAACATGCTTTATTCATGATACTATTATAAGAAGATAAGATATTGCGCATAAGTCGTGACGTCATTGGAGAGTTGTACGTTCGAAATGTCAGTTTTTTGTATGTGTCAATAAATAATCTTTAATAGTTTGGAGATATCCGTATGTGTACAATTATTGTAATTATTGAACTTCTTAACTTATTTTCGTCCAGTAATTTCATCATAGAATGCATACAAATCCCATTTAACTTTAATAAGAATTCAAATTCTACTCTCCAATGACAGCATGCGCGAACACGACCGATTTTGGGCTACGGGAAGATCCTATCTTGTTATTCATAGTATCATGGCATTATTATTTACACAACCTTGTCAAATTGTTGTAGTAACTATTAGAATACTAAGATATTGCAAAAAGCGGAAAGATTCTGAAAAAAAAAAATTAAAAAATAACGAAAAATACAAATTATCCACGATTCTGAAAAAAAATTAAAAAATAACGAAAAATACAAATTATCCACACTAAACAACGTTTGTTTGGAAAGTGAAATTGACAGATGTGAATCAAATCTACGTCATCACTCCGGTGGTCCATTGTGAATGTATATCGTAAATTGTGCAACGTAGATTTGTGTTGTGTATTGTGTGTTGCATATGTAATGTGAATAAGATTATATTGTATTGGCAACCAAAGCCTGCTACTACATTCTGCTGATGGGTTTGCTACACATTTTTCTTCGTTAAGTAGGATATTCATAAAATGACAATGGCAGCCAAAACCTTTTTAGGTTTTTTCTCCTGAAATACATTTTCATTAGAGCAAGTACTTCGGGCTATATAGAGATCTGATAATTTATTTTTTGATGTTTACATTATGGTTGGAATGGTAATTTAAATGTCTGCGCATGTGGGTTGGTTTTCTGTAGACTTATCTGCATATCCTGTGTCCTCTTTTGTGATTAGATGTCCAGACCAGGAAATGAATTATTGTTTTATTGTTCGGTTTCTTCTTTATTGTCGATGGAAATAAAACATAACAACTTTCTGATGTATTTTCTTATGTAATTTTCATTACAACCAATAATTGTAGCTTAATCCCATATAAACACAATATTTAAATAATATATGATACCTTAACTTAAAATGCAGATTTCCCTTACCTTAATAATATGAACTCTTGGTTTAAACCTCGAGGATAGCTGATTCAAAACTTCTGCTACCAATTGTTGATGTTTCAACACCTTTCTCGTTTTCATAATTCTAACTATTGCGGCTTGTATCAACAATTTTCTATCCTCTTCTATGTGTTTGTGGGTCGTTTCCTGCTCCAATTTCAATTCTGTTTTCATAGGAATATTTATGTTTACTCGAAGTTTCTTATTTTTAAATCCTAAATTTAAACAAACCATCGAATTTAAACCGAGTTCATTTTCGTCGTCATCACAATTGAGTAGCTTAGCCTTAAGTAGTATTTGTACAACTTGTATAAGAAAGTCGTTTTTAATTTGTGTATTTTCTTCTAGTTGAGCTATTGTCCACGAGTCGGCTACGTTGTATTGCAGTAATACTGCCATTTGAAAAGTGCTGGCTTGTAGTGTATACCTGAAAAAATAATATGTTTATTTGCCTTATATTTAAATACAAATACTGGGATTACTCTATTAAAAAGGAAGATGTATTTGGATTTATTACTGGATTTGGAGGGGCATAGCATTGCTAAACGTCGCATACAAAATATTGGTAACGCATATAAAGAATAAAGAATGATGGACCAAGAATATTACAGATTATACACTGCGCTCCAAAATTAACGCATAATTTTAAAATTCTTATTTTGAGTTGTAATGAAAAAAATTTTGTTTGTTCTTTTCTGCTTTGTGGTTGTTTTAGAACATCTTAAATAAAACTATTCTTTTTTTACAAAAAATGTATTGAAATTAACAATATAACATCCTAACATAAATCATAACATCTAAACGAACTAATCTAAACAAACTAACATCATAAATTAATGAAGAAAAAGTTTTTAAAGTTGAAGAAAATACTACTACCGTGTACTAGTATCGAGTATTGCCTCCTCTGGCATTTATTACTGCTTGACAACGATCTCTCATACTGAGAATAATCGTTCTGATTTCTTCTTGATCAATTTGATCCCAAATTTCAACCAACCGCAAAAACAGTTCATCTAATGTGTTTGGTGCATTAGGTAGTTGTCGTAGTCGTCTGCCTATGATGTCCCAAACATGTTCTATTGGGTTAAGGTCAGGAGTTCTCGCAGGCCAATCCATGGCAGGAATTCCAACCTCCTGACGATACTGCTGCACAATTCTTGCCGTGTGTGGCCTGACATTATCTTGCATAAGCATGAAATTATCCCCAATAAATGGTACAAATGGCACGACATGCTCTTCTAAAATGTCTGTTATATACCTCTGCGATGTAAGCCGACCGTGATTTATTTTAACTAATTCCGTACGAGTCTCTAAATTAATCCCACCCCATACCATTACCGAGCCGCCGCCATACTGTACAGTCCCTACGGTGTTACACTGTGCGTAGCGTTCCCCAGGCCTTCTATACACTCGGTTTCTCCTGTCATCAGAAAAAAGACAGTACCTGGATTCATCGGTGAACACAATATTCTTCCCCAATCGTCATTATTCCAATCAACATGTTCACGAGCAAAATTCAATCTTTGCCTTCTATGGTCTCTGGTCAATAATGGGCCAATTGGTGCCCTTCCAGGGTGTAGGTCGTTTTCGGCAAGTCTTCTTCTAATTGTATTTTGGCTGTTTCTAAAGTTATAACGATCCAAAAATTCATTTTGTAGAGAAGTACTGGAAACAAACCTTTGTCTCAGTGTACGAAGTGTCAAAAACCGGTCTTGATTAGAAGTTACGGCCTTGACCGGGTCTTCTCGAGTTACTTCCAGTAACAGAAAAACGTGTTAACACTCTTGAAATTGTTGACTGGGTGACGTTAAAACGTTCAGCGAGTTCTACTTGAGTGTATCCTTCTTCGCGAAGAGTAACGATTCTAAAACAGTCACTTTCTGACAAATTTCGATTTTCTTGCTGCGAGTGGTTCATTTCAAAGAAAAAACACTTAATAAACTTGAAAAACCCCTTTAAACGTTCAGCACAACGAAATCCAACCCAACTAAATTCGAAATAAAATGAAGCACAATAGCATGTTTTTAATTTTTAGCAAAAAAATGATAAAAACATCAGCGTTTTTTACCGTTCTTTCGATAAATTTTACAATATACCGGGGGTAACGATAATATATTAGCACAAAAATCGAAACATTAAAATTATTTAATTTAACAGGGTTTTTAAAATTATGCGTTAATTTTGGGGTGCAGTGTAGATTATTACAGAACATTTATTCCGTAATAAGACATTTAAAGCATGGCAAATCTGAAGGTCCTGGTAATATACAAGCAGAACTACTCAAACTAATGGAAAACGAATCAATAGCAATAATCACAAAGATATTCAACAACATATACAACTCTAGAGAAATACCAACACAATGGCTGAAATCTGAGTTTATTGCAATTCCAAAAAAGCCAGTAGCCAAAAAATGCGAAGATTACCGTACTATAAGCCTCATGAGTAATCTCCTAAAATCGGAAGAAAGAAATACTCATGGCTTAAAAACATAAGGGATTGAACAAACATCGATGCCCATGCACTCTTTAGAGCCACACAAGATCAAGAGGAGTATGCCAGAATTGTCGCCAACATTCACTAATTGGTTAGAGCACCATAAGAAGAAAACATCAAACTACTTTAAAAAATTTGTTACAATAGAAATATAAAATTCTTACCTATTTTTAAAACAATTTGTATTGAGCTCTCCTTTAGACATATTATACAGCCAATTTAGTTTTCTCCCTGAATGCTGACCTGAGTAAAAATTTGTAAACCTATGTACGCTTCGTTCCAACTGAAAATAAAACATGTATTTTATTGGATACCTTTCAAATTTATTTTGAAGTTTTAGTCAATCTCAGCAATTTTTTTAACATTAAATAATAAAATATATCAGAAAGTAGAAACCCGAATATTTCTTGGTTGACGAAAACAACTTAACTATCCTATCTATAATAAAATTTTTATTTAAGAACTAAATTTTAAAGTTTTATTAAATTTTTTACTAATTCGTACTCACAAAATAGAAAAATTTTCATTGTCGAGTTTTTTAATAATAAAGAAAACTGTTACTGTTGTTACAGAAAATAGGCACATAAATGTTCCTTTCAAAACACAATACCCTCAAAAAGTCAACGTCTGTGCTGGTATTTTAGGTGAGAACGTAATTGGCCCTTTTTTCATTGTGGGCACTTTGTATCGTCGTAAATACCTAGATCTCTTGATAAATCACATGATTCCAAGAGTTTTTTTCCATGCCTGTATAACCTATCGATGCATGATTACTCCCATAACTGAAATTTTAAACCAGTAGCATGATACTATAATAACAAGATAGGATCTTCCCGTAGCACAAAATAGGTCGTGTTCGCGCATGCCGTCATTGGAGAGTAGAATTTGAATTCTTGTTAAAGTTAAATGGGGTTTGTATGCATTCTGTGATGAAATTACTAGACGAAAATAAGTTAGGAGGTTTAGTAATTACAATAATCGTACACATAAGAATATCTCCAAAGATTATTTATTGATACATACAAAAAACTGACATTTCGAACGTCAAACTCTCCAATGACGTCACGACTTATGCGCAATATCTTATCTTCTTAGTCTTAGTATCATGACCAGTAGCGTTGCGCTAGCTGTCTTTTACTTTATCTTTGATACTTCCGCGTTTTTAACAGCTAGCAACCCTAATTTGCGACCATTTTTTTAGCAACCCGAAAATTTTGTGAATTAATTTCTAACACAAATTTTTAGAATTAGAATAAAACTTTCAAATGTTGTCCAAAGTACATATTTTATTACTTAATCTTAAAAAATGGTTGAAATGAGTTAACTTAATTCATTTTCATTTTGTATTTTAACTTAGTTAATTTTATAGTGTATTTCCAATTTAAATCTACCAAAACTTTAATAATTGCTAAAACGGCACAGTTTTATAGAATGTAATTCCAAAAAAAGTAATATTCATGTAAAATTGTTTAAATTATAAAAGATTAAAATTACTGCTCTAATAAACACTCACCTCGGAGGGTAAACCAAATGTAAATGATTGTTGAAATGGCCAAGAGCCCGAAGATAATACTTGAATAGTAAAATCGATTCCTAAAGATTCATTTGACTTGAGTAAGTGAGTTCTAAATTGTTCATTTAAATCCTTTGAGACTCCAATGTCCTGTGAAAAAAAGAAAAAAAATTAAAAATATCTGCTATATACAATATAAGATTATATGCTAAATAACCAATGGGAAGGTCACGTGGTCGACAAAACCGGCCCATTAGAAAGAGATGTATGGCCTGCTTTCCGTCAGTTTTCTCTGTAGCACTGGAGGAAGGGAGCTGTATTGCAGCGCTGAATATATTTGTATTATATGTCTATGGTATATGCTGTTACTTTTAACCTTAACGAGTTTATATTCGTTTATAGTCCCCTTTTCCATCTAATTGTAGTCTAGGCTTATTTATGCCCTCACCCCTTCCGATAGTGTTGCCACGTATCCTCTAGTCTTTTTTTTTCACCCCCTATCTGATTTTCTGGTGTCGAGTAACTCTTGAAACTTTTAAAGAATTTATTTGTTTTATGTTCGAATATTTGCGTACTACTCTTTAAATATTACTTTAAACCCGGTGTGAAATAAAGGCTTTATTGAATTAAACACAAAACTACATGAATATTTGAACGGTAAGGCGTTCTTATTCTTTTTCCACTTCTGATTACGACCGGCTATCGTAACTCTTGGAAAGATGGATCAGCCGACACTGCGACGTTGCCACAGTAAAAAAAAAAGTAAAGTTAATGGAAACATATAAGGGCGTGAACACTCTTTTCCCAAGCATTCGATGCATTCTCTTTTTCTTGTCCTTCAACCAAAATTTACGACCTTAACCCTTTCAGGACGGTTGACCGATATATCAGACAGAAAGAAAACTGCCACACGGACGACTGACCGATATATATGTCACTATGTTTATCCGTCTCCAAAGACCAGTGTATGATTAATCAGCCAAAATTTTAAAATGAAATTGGCAGGTAGGCGACTGGCGGATATATCGTGAGCTTATAATTTGCCACACAGACGAGTGTCGTTTATATCAGTCACCGTCCGATATATGCGACACTCGGCTAGAGAGATGCGCACGCAGCATACAGATTACTTGAAATTTCCGGTGGCTACGTCGCCACGTGTTTCAGTAGCAACTAAAATGTCGTGTAATGAGAACGCCGGGCCTTCGAGCAAAAGAATTAAAGTTAATAATAATAGTACAAATGATTATTCTTCGTATTGTGGATTAACCCAACAGGAAGTGGCTAATTTACTAAAAATAGTGGACACACTTGCGTTTTCTGATAGTGAAGAGGAGCCATTATCTGATAGTGGGAGTGAATATTTGCCAACTGGAGAAAGTGATCAAGAAAGTAGTGCTGAAGAAGAAATTGATGAAGATGTAAGCTTAGAGAATTGTGACAACTTAAATGCAAACGACCAAAAGAATATTGAAAAAGATTATAGTGACATACAAATCCAGTGGGAAAAAAATCAGTTCGTCCCCAAGTTACATAAATTTGATGATAGTCAGAGTGGAGTACAGGACATGATGAACTTAACGGAAGAACCAAAGGCAATAGATTATTTTTTGAAAATTTTTACCGAGGATACAGCCAAATATATAATTGATGAAACTAACAGGTATGCTATGCAAAACAATGATAAAAAATGGAAACATCTTTATTTAGATGAGTTCTTTACCTTTCTTGGATTGACTATGCTTATGTCCAGAAACAAAAAGCTTGAAGTAAAGGAGAATTGGTCAAAAGATCCTCTTTTGTACTCCGCATTTTTTAGCAAGAAAATGTCAAGAGACAGATACTTACAAATTATGAAATATTTGCATTTCTCTAACAATGAACATGCAGAAGCTGGAGATCGCTTGTATAAAATAAAGGAGGTTTTGACACAAATAAAACAAAGATTTCAGTCACAATTCTATCCCTTTGAAAACCTCGTTATTGATGAGAGTATGAAATTATTTAAGGAAAGACTCCTTTTTAAACAATACATAAAAACCAAACGCCACCGTTTTGGTATAAAACTTTATGTTATATGTGACTGCGAGACTGGTTTTGTTCTGGATTTTATTGTTTATGTTGGGAAGAATACATATTCTACCGAAGAAACTATCAAAGGCTTGGGTGCCACTGGAAATGTTGTGGTTCAGCTTATGAAACCATATCTAAACAAAGGCCACTCACTGTTTACTGACAATTTTTATAGCAGTCTAATCTTGTCACATTATTTGTATGAACATAAAACAAATTCTTGTGGGACTGTTAGATCTAAAAGGCTTCACATGCCTTCTTTGCAGGAAAAATTGAAAAAGGGAAAAATTGATGAAAAGTAGATTGGAGAAATTCTGACATTTGCTTGGTGTTTAAATGGAAAGACAGAAGAGATGTTATGATGATAACAACAATGCATGAAAATAAAATGATTGTTCTTGACAAAATTGATCCTACTACTAAAGAACCAGTAAGGAAACCAGATTGTGTTATTGAGTACAATAAACAAATGGGGTCAGTCGACCGCTCTGACATGATGATAAGTAGCTTTGATTGCATGAGGAAGACCACAAAATGGTACAAAAAATTATTTTTTCACACAGTAGATATCTGTGTACTAAATGCCCACGCTATGTTATTGACAAACCAGACTATGCCAATGCCGCTTGCCAAATTTCAACTGAGTCTTATACATCAGATTTTTAGAAGGTAAGTTTTTGTTTCTCTGTCGTTATTTACATATATTATAGCTTTTTTTAATTTCAGATATGAATATCAAGTGAAAAATCCCAGATCCATGTCAGCGGATATATCCAGATTAAAGGAAAAGCATTTTCCTTCATTTGTTCCAGCAACCGAAAGGACAAAAACTGCCTCCAGAAGATGTGTTGTGTGTTCGCATACAAAAGAAACGGACAAAAAACGCAAGGTATCGAGATACATGTGTAAAGAATGTGATGTAGGTTTGTGTGTAGTTCCATGCTTCGAGATATACCATACTAAAGAAAATTTTTAAAAAAATTGCACTTTTCTACCAAAAAATTTAAAAAAAAAATGTTTTTTTACCGTTTTTTAATAAAAGCTATATATAAAACATTCCTTACATTAAAAAATATGCATGTCTTTACTCAATAAACAGTTATTAAACATAACGTGTTAATTTTTTTATTCTGACTGATATATGTGCCATCCGTCCACAAGGCACGCTAAAAACTGCCGTCTGTGTGGCATTTCAAGGGCAAATAGGTGCCGTCCTGAAAGGGTTAAAGAATAATTCTGGTGTGAATTGTACTAAAATCTTAGTATTGTTGCACTTGTTTTTCATTTCACTTAACTCTTCCCTTCACAATATTCCCTTGATATAAATATATCCTGACAAGGGATTTCCCTTTTTCAATATTTTAATACGAAAAAACCTTGTTTCACAGTTTATTCCATAATTAGGTTATAGATTATTTGTGTTTGCTGATTTGAATAGGTTTTAGTGCTTGCTGTCAAGCCTCTTTTGGATTTTAATCCATAACCAAGTCCTAAGATTCCCTAACTGGCAACATTACTCTTTTTTTAATTTTAATTTACTAAATATAATGTATCCTACTTACTTGGAACATCCTTTGAAGTTTAGACGTATATTCAAACCCGCAAGCTTGTTTTAATTTTGAGATCATCGAAGCTTCAGCATCGTCACTAGCCGACATATGCTGCACTAACCTTTTGGCCAACATTTTACTATAGAATTTTTGAAAGACGTCCTTATCTTCTATATATTTGAATACTACCATCTAAAAAAAAAATATGTTAATTTAGCAAATAGTACAAAAATTCGATAACCATTTTAATCGAAAGTATTTCAATAAAGTACAGTATTGTGCGAATTAATGTGAACAGAAATCGAAATTCAGTTTTCATAAGTTGGCACATCTGCTGTGCCTATTCTGTCAACTGTTTTATCAAAAAAACAACATAACCTCAAAAAAGCACGTACTTTGTGTTTTATATTATTATTATATTTTGTTGTATCTGAGGTTATGTGCAAGTTGGTGTTAGTTTCACTGATTTAACAGTGCAATGAGATTTAACTTTTTAATATGGATATCACTCCTTGGATATCTCTCCTAAGAACGGGGGTTGCTACAGTAAAATCAAACATGGCAAAATGGGGAAAAATAAACCAAGATGATGTGAACTGTGACTGTGGAGAAACACAGAATATGGAACATCTTCTTAAATGCAGAAACTGTCCTCATCGATGTACCCTTGAATATTTGTGGCTCGGCAACAAAGATGGAACCGACGTAGCCCGATACTGGGCCGAAATTTTATGAATGACATGTCCGGACACGATAAAGTAAAGTAAGTACTCCTTGGAAGAGAGAAAGGATCATAACACTTAGTGAGCATACACCAATGACTCAGAGGGACATTACAAAGGAGTGTTGTGTAAGTTTGGGTGCAGTAAACAAAATAATTAAACAAAAAAAGAAAACAGGATCAGTTGAAGTGCAGCGGAAAGGAAAATGTGGAAGAAAACGAAAGACTACTCCTCTAGATGAAACCTTTCTTTTGCGCGATAGCAAACTTCATCCCAGAAAAACAAGTTATGACCTCCAGGTCATAACTTGTTTTTCTGGATTTCTGGATTTAGAAAAAGCTGGAATAAAAATTCACGACTCAACGGTACGCAGACGTCTCTTAGAAGTAAGGAGGGAGAAGAGCCGTAAGACCGCAGAAGACACAACTTCTGGCAGCGCCTATGATGAAAAAAAAAAATTACTAAATCAGGCAAAAAAAATACGCTCATTGGAGTATAGAAGATAGAAGAAAAGTGTTATTTTCTGATGAGACCCACTTCCAAGTGCAGGGCCAGCGATCAAAATTCGTACGAAAGGCAGCCAATGAGTCACTTTCAGCTAGCCATATTAACCAAACTGTTAAACATCCCACCAAAAAAATGTTCTGGAGCTGTTTTTCATACTCAGGAACTGGCACTCTTATTCCTATTGAAGCTATGATGAACAGTGAAAAGTACAAAGCCATGCTAGGGCAACGCTTAGCTATAGAGCTTGACAAAGTACAGGCCAAAGTGACTGCAATTTTTCAACAAGATTCAGCTCCGTGCCATGTATCGAAGGTTATGATGAAATACTTTAAGGATAATAATATTACCTGACCTTAATCCTATTGAAAATTTGTGGGCAACATGTAAGGCTAAACTGCAGAAATTTGACTGTACGACAAAAACAAAAATGGTGGAAGCAGTGATTAAAGTCTGGTTTAGAGATGAAGCAATCACAAACAATTGCAAAAAACTTGCGTATTCCATGCCTAGAAGACTCCAGGAAATCATAAAAGTAAAAGGGAGATATATTAAATACTAATTAATGAAAAAATTTCATGTAAGTGTACAAAATTTACCTTTTGCCTAAATAAATCATATTTACAAATTAATTCTGTTTGTTCACATTAATCCGCACAATACTGTAACTAACGTCAGCGTCGTACTAAGTAAAATATACCGTTTTCAAAATCAACTGTCGATTTTCAAAAACAACGGTTACTGTCCCCGATCGGACTCATGCGCACCTAGCAAAGGGACTAAGGATGAACTTGAAAAAAACTAAATGCATGATCATGACTAAATCAGCAGATGCAAACATCCAGTTGATTGTTGAGGATACTGTAATTGAGAGTGTGGATACCTACAAATACTTAGGAACATGGATAACATCAAATGTAGACAAAACCATAGAAAATAAGACACGTATTGAAATAGCACGTGCATCATTCGTTTAACTTAAAAAGTTTCTTTGTTGTCGGGATATAAGGTTAGGACTACGCCTAAGAATGCTTCGGTGTTACGTATTCACTACTCTTCTTTATGGCTTAGAAGCATGTACATTAAAACAAGTGCATCTGAATAAGTTGACCGCCTTTGAATTTTGGTGGTACAGAAGAATCCTACGAATATTATGTACTCAAAGAATGATAAACGCAGAGATAACTAGAAGAATAGAAAATGAAGCTGAAATAATATTGACTATAAAAAGAAGAAAACTTGAGTACTTAGGCTATATTAGGAGAGGGCAAAGATACTCATTATTGCAGCTTATTATGCAAGGCAAAATTCGAGGAAAGCGAAATTTGGGAAGACGAAGATTACTGTGGCTTAAGAACTTGAGGTAATGGTTTGAATGCACTAGTGCAGAAGGATTTAGAGCGGCAGTCAATAGGGTCCGCATAGCCATTATGGTTTCCAACCTTCGACAGAAGATTGAACTTAAAGAAGAAAATTATTAGGAATTGTTTTTGGATATAAGCGGTTTCCGTAATTATAACTCTCTAAGGTTTTCATGGTAGAATAGGTTTATAAGCCACTTCAGTCTATATTTCGCAAACCGACTGAAAATGTCGATTGAAATTACAAGAAGTTGCTGATACTTATTTTATGTTTTTGGTCTAATACTAATGACCAAACCAAATATTTTTCAATATCAATAAAGATAAACCAAAGAACCTCACGACATTTACTTACCACTTGATTTAAAGTATCTTCGAGCTCAGCCTCTTCAGCGTTTTTATTTGATTTTTTCAATAAAAGATCACAGTATTTTGCAAGTAGTTCCGGAGACCTACTGCTTGAATTAGCTTGTTTAGTGACAGCGTTGGCATTAATGAATCTGCCGCAAGCCTTGTCTAGGGCAGCAACGAAGCCACTGTCATTACTAAACGCCACTAAAACTAGAGCATTATATTTCTTGTGCACTTCTAATATCGTATTGACGTAAACCTTAGGATCCTAAAACAAATCAGTAAATAAATAGATATTAAAATTAGTAAAGAGAAGATTTATCATGTGATATATGTAATGAAAATAAACCATATTTATAGCGAAAATCGTCTTCTGAAGGTACCTTCTCATTATTATTACAACAAATTTCTCCCAAACTGTTCTTAACCGATTAATCCCCACTGTATTTTATATAATACGTGAGACATTGCTACATATTTCGCCATCTACTAGTCAGAACAAAAAGTAAACATTAGTGGTATTCCCAATATAGTTTATAGAATAGATGTTAGAAGGTAACTGTTTATCATAACATTAGAAATGTATAACTACTTGGCGATAAAGGGTGACTAGTTTTGTGCTAGGATAGTTTGTAGGACTTTTTCGACTTATTTTGAAAAATCTTTTGTAGTGTTTAACTAGTAAGGCTTCTAAATATCAAATAATGATATAAATATTATTGAAATTTATATTAGTGAGTATTTTGAAGGTCTTTGACTCTTGCGTATGATATATAATACACTGTGCAATCGTGGTAACTAATCAATATTGTTTCTGTTTTAGAAAATATTACAAAAACATGATCCTAATAATCCCAAAGATGCAGAAGAATTGTTAAAAATATATGAGAATTTGGAAGATTTGACGAAATGCCCCTGATGATGATGTAGAAAGCGAAAGTAATTGGGCAAGATTTGATTACTAAAATTGTGCTCAATATTTGCCTTTAATTTTTCAAAGTTCATTTATTCGAGCATTCAACCTTATTGTTCCAGAAATGAACATATTGTCTTTGACTTTTCTTAGTGTAGAATAACTAGAAGTCACTTTATCAAGTTTGAAGGCGACGGATTGGCGTCTAACATCTGTTAAATATTTTTCACACCTAAGCACTTTTCCCATTTTTACGCATTATGTAGTTTTTATTAGTTCAGTATCAGGTCAGCCCTAGTCCCAGTTCGACACATGGCCTTGAGCAGGCATTACAGCGGGCAGTTAAGAATTTCACAATTCACGTAGTTAAATATTTTCTCTCCGCCGAAATCGGGCATTTTCTCATGTTTATTTCTCATAACGGTCTGTTTTACGTGTTATAAAGAAAGAGTACATTTGATATTGTACAGTAAGTTACGGCCGTGTTGGGCCTCTACTCTTAAAGGATTTAATTATAAATCAATAAACTCAAAGGTGCTTTTATTTCTCTGGAGCTATAATTGCTCAAATTAAGAATCCTTATCTTTCAACGGTCACTGAAGATCCAAACCTATGGAGATGCATCCATTCACAAGTCCTTTGAAGTAAGGCTTGGAATCAAAAGATTTCCAACTCTCACGATGTAGGTAGCCAGTTACAAAGCTCCCTCACTTATATCTATAAAAGAATAAGTAAAGACGATATTAAAAGAACAAGTGAAGAAGATATTAAATAAAAATACTACGTAAAGGTAAAAATAATCTTAGATTTCGAAAGACTGGGACAAGAAAAATAAGTATAAGATATGCATGAATGCATATGTTATGACTAAGGTACTAATAAGGTGTACAAAGAAGAACAGTTTAGCCAAACAATAATAAAAGCAACCACAGAAGCAATCCCACCAAAATCAAATGGGTATAAGATCTTTTAATAAATTTATGACGAAGCTTTGTCGTCAAAATAATTTATATCAATTTAAGAGTTTTTATAATAAAACAAATTACTTACATTAACTGCACTTTCTCCACACTTCTCGATTGCAGCTAAACCTTGTGCAGCTATGTGTTGTTCCAGTAACGTTTTCAGCTCACCGAGACCGTCTGGAATCCTAGCAACTAAGCTGTACATCCTACCTAGATCGGCGTCTTTGTCATCGTCTAAAAGTTGCTGGAATTCCGAATGGAACAGTTCCAAATGTTTCTGAATAAGAACACGTTCACAAGTTCCTGCTAATCGTTCACTTGTTGTTATATGGAGGTAGTTCTGGACACGTTTTTGTTCTTCTGCAAGCCTTTGCTCCGCCTACAATACAATTGTATATGTTGATAAATTTCTAGTCATAAATAAAAAGTGCGTCAGCCCACAAGAGAAATTCAGCAGATGTCCTAATAGATAAGTACCTAAATGCTTGTACATTACCTCCCACCAAAATTATAAGGAGTTACCAAAAACCTGATTACAAGATTCTTAAGATTAAGTAATGACCCAAGCAAACAAAAACTGGCAAAAATAAACACATCTTTCGACAGAATGTCAACAAAAATGCAGTAGAACAATGAAAAATTTTTTGATTACACAGATAAACGGGTCTGGATCACTTAAAGAGATCTGACACTAAACACAGTTGAAGACTTGTTTTATGTAGCTATCGAACGAAAAGCATTATATCAGTTTGTTAATTTAATGATATCAAATACTTAAAAACAAGCATAGCACTCAAGGAATAAGAACATTTAATGTGATTTAATAAAGCTGCATATAAAAAATTTACAAAACCAAGTTATTTACAAGAGGTATAAAGTATTTAGTTTTTACCGAAATTATGTTTTTTTTTAAATGGTCATTTTGTGTACAATTTACCAAACATGTTTTTTGTTACATTTAAGTACACTTGCTACATTCGTTACCCTGCCAAAGAAATCCAATGCAAAAAAATGTTCAGAACATCGAACAATAGAAATACGTAGAGGAGTACACCAGGGATGCATTTTGTCACCGCTGCTATTTAATGTTTATAGTGGAAGCATCTATCAGAAAACCCTTTTGCAAGCAAATGAAGGAATCGTAATCAATGGAGAGGTTGTAAATAATATTCGATACGCAGATGACACTGTACTAGTTGCAAGAACAGTAGAAGAATTACAATGATTACTTACAAATATAAATATTGCCTGCAACAATTATGGCATAAATATCAATATCAAAAAAACCAAGTATATGGTCTTCAGTAAAAACATGACACAACCAGCACATATTAGTATAAGCAGCATTCAAATTGAAAAAGTATCAAGTTACAAATACTTAGGGACTTCGATAAACAAAACTGGAGACCAAAACAATGAAATAAAAAGACGTTCAATGAAATAAAAAATCGAAATTGCCATGGCCACCTTTATAAAGATGAGAAAATTCTTCTGCAACAGAGATATAAGATTAAGAATGATAAGGGGCTATGTATTTAACACGCTATTATACGATGTAGAGGCCTGGACTCTCAAACAGAACAACATAAAAAATATTGAAAGTTTCGAGATGTGGTGCTACCGTCGAATGCTGAAGATAAGTTGGGTTGAAAGAGTCACAAACAAAATACGAAGAATAGCAAAAGACCCAGAAATTTTGTCAACAATCAAACGAAGAAAAGTCGAATATTTCAGTCACCTGATGAGAGAAGACAAATACGCATTACTTCAAAATATAATGCAAGGAAAAAACGAAGGAAAACGGAATCCAGGCCGTAGAAGAATGTCATGGTTGCGTAATTTGAGACAGTGGTTTGGCTGTACCACTAATGAACTCTTTAGGTCAGCTGTAAACAAGATCATGATAGCCTTGATGATTTCCAATCTCCGATAGTAGTGGCACAAGAACTAGAACTACACTTTAGGAAAGAGTAATAAAAAAAATTTAAACTTTAATATTAGGCATTAATAGACATTTAATATTAAGCTCGAAAATGTTTTGTTAATATGTAAAAAAACTTACCCTTTTCATATATTCAGTAACCGGATTTTCGGACAAGAACGAAGTGCTCTCCCTCATGTAAAATCGTTCGGTATCTTCTAGAAAAACGTTTTCAAAACTGTCCTTGTAAACACTTAAGTTAGGCCCTTTCGCTCCTGGTTCTTCTTCATTTAAACCTAGTTCTACGTAACAGTTTATTACACCAGATACTAAACGCGTGTTAATTGTTTCGCCGTTCCTTTCTTTTTCTATCAGTTTTAGAACTGCGTTGGTAACCTTGAAAATAAAAATGTTACTTTAATAAGGAGTATAAAAAATAACAATAATTTGTTCAAAGTTAAATATAATATTGTAGCTATAACCCTTCGGATGATCAAATGGATGTGTGTATGATACCACACATACAGTATCTGGCTAAATTATTAGACCCAGCATTAAAAATTTGCATTTTTAAAATTAATAATGTCTATCTACAGGCATGTTATTATTTTTTCGAATAGCAACATTGGCAACATCGCCCTATCCGTCATTTCTAGGCAGCATTGCGCCCTGTCAACTAGTGTGCATTTTATAACCTCAAATACTGTATGTGAACATTTGAATTCTAAAACGGTTTTGAACTGAAATTTTATTGCAGAGGTGAGTGATTAAAACTCACAATTTGGAAACCTGACAACAAACTACCGCGTAAACAAATCTAAGTATTAGGGTATTAGTAAGAAATACAAATATTTTAACAAAAACAATGAACCTTACTGCCTTATTTAATTGTTTGAAGAGATGATCCCTCCATGTAACCAGTGCGAGTTGATATATTTCATATATACCTTTCCTACCTTCCTCACATTCCCTTTTCACCCAATGTCTATTAAGATATGCACATACACCATCGAGCACTTTACTACAAAACTGATAATCCTCCCATTGATTTGTATAAAATTTGAGAACGTCTTCGTCCATGCGATGTAGTCCATCCTAAAACAAACAAATTGACTTAAACAAAAACTCTACAAAAATTACAGTCTGTACAAATTTCGTCAATTTGAGTATGTAACAGATGTATCTTCACAGTGATAGAGAGCTGCTGAATGAGTTGCATAACAATTAGTGAATAATCATACTACATAATTAAGTTAAAAATGGTGAAACTTTTTGAATTAATTGTCAAAACTTGACAGGTGACAATAGAACGTGTTAAAAGTGTATAGTAACGACTCTTTCCAACTTTAGTTTTCTACTTAAATTAGTCATTGGTGTTCAAATTTTGTAAAATTTGCAATGGTAAGTGTTGACATTATTCTATGGGATTAGTTTTGAACTAGATTAATTTCTAAAAACAAGACGATAAATCTCCAATTAGAAATTTTTCAAATGGATAAATGTAAAGATCTTTTTGCTGGACAAATCTTTTCTGGTACTGCTCTAATAAAATATTTCACAGAATAGATAGATAAATATACAGATGTAGTTAAATGTGAATGAAAAATAAAATATAACTTAAATATACTTACACTGAGTAAAGTAACAAGATAGTTCCTAAGAAAGTCTCTCAGTCTCTTATAAAGTTCTAATCCAACTAGCTGGGCACCTCCTCCGATCTGATTCTTTTTACCCTTTGGGTTTGCATTTGCCGAAGCTCGTCCATTGTTCTGTTGATGAACGGAAGTGCAATAATTATAAACGTGTGTATAGAGCTGTATGTAACGTGATTTATGCATCGTTTCTCGATTGTATACTTGCTGGATGCCAGCATGTAGATCTCCCCATATTTGATCCAGGTCGAACTGCTTTAAAACAGATGTATTGTTACCTAGGGAGCTCTTACTAGACATTTCCTTTGAATTCGAGGATATATCGTCACACTGTGGACAAACACAAAGAGACTGTGGTTAAAGTTAACTAAAATTAATGTACAGAAGTAAACATTTCAGTTCTAAACAGATAACAAAAAAATCTTATAAGTAACAAACGTTATAGGTCGGTAATTTCATTTCGAGGATCATATAGCTCTAACAATAGTGTTTGACAGTAGTTAGTCTGATCTCGATTGCCGGTACAATGGAAAAAAATCGAGACATTTAAGAAAATATCCAGTGCCCCGGATCGAGTCAGCCTGAATAAAATGGGTATCATAAGTAAAATCAGATGTAAAAATGGATACCTGAAATAGCACTGACACTTTTATCCTCCTGATATTCTATAAGTTCAATATTATGATTATTAAAACGGTCTTTACAGCGTAACCAGGATCAAACTGCATGACTCCAACCCGCGAGAATTGAAAGTATTCAAACAAGAGCAATTGTTGCAGGTTGCAGAGTGAGCAGTGTTTGCTTCATTCCAATAATGTAAATCAAAGAAACAAATTGTATGTATTTAATCCATTAACAAAGAAAAAGAGCTGTATTAGTACCCCCAATTTTAAGTCATTGGCTCACAGATCGTCTGTTTATGATTTTATATCAAAATCATAGCAAGTCCCATACGCGTGATTTCAACTGAAATCGCTAGGTATGTCATACTAATTAATATTCGATTTCATTTTCCGGCGGTTGAGAGGAAACTAGATTGCGCATATACATGATCTGTAGGGTGGGTTTGATCGTCTAGTACTACTCCAATCCAAATAAGAGTTGTGCTATTAATCTGCTAAGATTGCATCTACGATTTGAAACCGCCGTATAAGAAGTAGCTGACAAATAAGTTATTTCATCGCCTTTTCGTCAAAGTTATTCACTTAATCATGGATACTTATGTATTGACAAAATAGATAAAATATTTAATCGATCGTCTTGCATACTGTTTCTTAAAACGTGTTTTATGCGGTTAAAAATCGAATACCATCATCTGCTGAGGTTAGGCAAGTTGTCACAATAACATTTAACTGTGGTATAGTTTCCTTAAAACCTGTCAAATATTGTTTGTTAAAAAAATTTAGTAAATTCATAGCACCAATGATTCCCTTCAAATCTTGCTTTGAGTATGTCACTTATTATTCCGTTTGCAGTGTGACTTTACATAAAATAGTATAAAAAGTAGATACATATGGAATTCAAAATATTGGTAGAGAAATTACGGTAATACTTCAAATATGTCGCTTATTACAGTTCCCTCTTGATTCTTGATTCCTCATGGTTAGTTTAGTGAAATATCAAAGTGGAGTAACATTCAAGAAACACCTTCAACCAAAACAAGTATTCTTAATTTTCCAATTCTGTTCTCAAATTTGAACCATTATTTAAAGCAACACCTCTCTTTGATTTCTAAAAACATGTCTGATTTTTTAATGATGTTTAAAAACAAAGTTAACTATGCAAATGTTACAGTTACAATTACTAGTAGCTTATCTGAAAATGATCTTATTTATAGTTTCTTCAAAAAGATACCATTGAGTAGAGTTTAAAAAGGGCCAATAAATGATTATAACATATGTATGTAGTTTATTTTACCATATTCCAGTCAAACAAGGAAAATAATAAATTATCAACTTATTAATGCAAATCAGTTATATTCTATTGATATTCAGAAGTTTAAATTAAAAATAGTTTTATTAAATACTACCCAAAACGTTTGTGTAATTTTGACATATGTGAAATATATTAACATTGAAATATTGTTTATTGTGTACCTCAATTAGGGCTTAAAATTACATACGAAGAAGAAGGTTTATGCACTGTGGTAAATATAAAACCATGGTATACTGAACTTTTTATCACCAATTTTTTCTCATTTGTAAGTAGTCTCAAGAAATTGAAAAATATTATCTTATGATTTCTCCTGCCCAAGACAAAAACTAGCAATATAAAAAAATCCAACAACAAAATATGCCAGCCATACCGCCATGTATAAACCAGCTGGATACGACAACCATTTGTTTTGGATAGCATTCCTCAAACATTAAAACAGGATGAAAAAGAGCCTTTAATAGAACTATCTTGTGATAGGAGTTTGAAAATAGAATTTTCAAAATTAGAATTAGCTGAATTCTGGCTAAATATTAAAAATGAATATCCAGACTTTTCAAAAAAAGCACTGTTATTTTTACTTCCTTTTACGACCACCCACCTGTGTGAAACTGGATTTTCTGCTATGCTATAAGTGAAAAATAAATTTCGCAGTAGCCTTAATCTTGATCCAAATTTACGAATGAAACTAAGCACAATTGATCCTGATATCGATATACTTGTTGTAGCTATGCAACCATCCTTCTCATTGAATTTTTGGACTGGGTTAAACTAAGTTTTACTTTGTAACATTTATAATTACCTTTTCTAATAAATACATTTGTGCCAAAATTAGTAAATTTTATTATCTACTTTTTTAATATGTGGTTCGCGATTGACGCAGTATTTATATACAAGTGGTAAAAAAAGTTTGAGAATCGCTGGTATAAACAATAAACCCTCTATAAAGTAGGACAAGATTAAGAACAAGTTTTTATAATGATGAAAAAAATATTATAATACAATATGACCTAGATGTTATAAATATATACAAACCTCGATGTAATAATAATCCATATTTCTTAGCACTACTTGACATTTTAATTAATTTTGATTGTTTTAATTTTCTGTGATGATTTTGTTTAATTTTTAAACTTGAAAATCAGCGATTTTTGTCTCAAGATTTGATGTAATGGGAGTCTACTGTAATAGGGTAAATGTTTTAAAGAGTTCTGGGAATAATAATGTCATAAAAGAACTTCATTATGGAAATTTAGAGGGAGGGATGAGGAGAAAGTATGAAATAGTAATTTGCTATATTTTAAATATACAAAAAAGAATACACAGTACAGAAAGTTAAAAAAAAAACTACTTTTAAAAGCAGTTGCAGCTAGTCCTAAATGGCCACGGAGTCATGGAACTGGCTCTGAAAAATATATTGATTGGAAAATATATTGATCACTAAAAAGACTTTTGTTTTTACTATGTTTTTCTAATATCAATGTATTATCTACATACATTATTTTTTATCATTACATAATTTAATATCCATGAAAACCCAAATAATTCAAGCGAGTTTCAACCCGAGCCCGTTTCAGTATGGCTCAAGATTTGGCTTCAAACGCATAGGAAATGTTTAGACGCGGTCAGCTTGCAGATGGTGTATCGATAGAAAAATGGAATAATTCGAAACTAGACAAACTTCGGCCCGTGTTTTAGAATGTGAGTATGTAGTAGAAACTTTGTTTCAAGTGAAAAGATTTTGGAAATTTGAATCCTCCCGGACAGAATGCCTTTCACATTCAATATTATTCCATCCATTTTCAATAGCAAATTGTATTTTAAATGAAATTAGTCCTTTAATCAGTGATGCATCAAATGAGTTCATACCACAAAATTATGACGAAGCAGAGGTGTAAATGGAGTACAAAAAATAATGAAAGATAAATATCCATTTGCAAACTATGTACATCAGATGAATCTTATAATGAGCAGTGCATTTAAATATGCTGATCAAGGAGAATAATAGGCCAGGCATTCTGTTCTGCCACAGTATAGGACTCAATGTTTACCAGGTATTGAAAACATTTCTTTTAAAAGCCCTATAGGTTTCCTGTTGTCAGATGGTAGACTATTATAAAATTTAACACATGCATACAAAGGACTTCTCTCTGTTATAGACAATCTGTGAAGTGGCAAATTCAAATTAAGGCTTCTTGTATTATATTCATGATTGGGAAGCAGACGATAAAACAAAGAAAAATTTTTAAAAAGGGACATAATACATTCAAATATATAGATAGCTGAGAAAGTGAGTATATTGTGTGATTTTAATCAGCCTCTACAGGATTCTCCCGCCTTTAGTCCTAAGATCACCCAGACTGCCTTTTGTGGACTATAAAGACAATTGAGCTATCTACTGCAGCACCCCAGAAGATTACTCCATATCGCATAACAAAATAAAAGTTTGCATAATATACAGTAGTAAAATCCCCTAGTCTAGATAGTTCTTTAACACTCGTAATGAGTAGCAGGCTCTATTAAGTTTTTTTGTTGTATTTTGTATTTATTCCCTCCAATTCAGATACTCATCAATATAACGCCCAAGAAATTTAACTGACCTAGCAAGTTCCGTGTTTTGTGATTGTAGACAAAAACTATCTCCAGTATTAAGCAACAACTGATTTCCACTGAGATACTGTTCATCCTTGCTTAGAATTTGCTCAGATACTGTGAGGAGTGTTTTTTAAAGTTTTTTCCCAGAAAAGCACATTTGAGTGAAATTTACAAGGTTTGAGGAACTACTAACCACCACATTAGGAAGGTCGTTTATGTAGACCAAAAAGAAAAAAGACCCTAAGACACTCCCTTGTGGTATGCCTAATTTTAAATTGATCGGTTCTGCTGAAATTACTTCTTGATGTGAATTCTGGTAAGTTTTTATTATTGTTTATGATTTACAAATACTAAGTGGGCATGTTACCCTTAAAATTTTTAATATTTTGTTAGTCTTGTTCTTGTTGTTGGTTTGTTGACATAATATCATTATTCCTTGCCTTATTTTCATAATTTTTTATCCATGCAGTCATCTAATTATACATAAATGTTAATTTTAATAAATGAAAAAAATCCTTTTTCATTCAGTACCTGGTAAATTTACCTTCGGTAAATGTAGACTGCCTCTTTTAGTAGTTATGAGTAGTTAAGCTGTTCTCCGCTTGTAGAGGTTCTCTCTCACCGGCTCTGGAACTCTCTTCAGCCTTACTCTAGCCAAATTTAATACTGAACATCACAGTTATTTTACAACACAATGTATAATCTTTTATAACTAAATGTAATCTAAAGGGTTTTTACCCTAGTATTTTGGTGGCTCAGGCATTGTGACCTAGCATTTTTCGATTTTAAAACCTGATGATGGACTGTGTGGTCCGAAAACATTTGTTTTATTGATGTAGCCCTTTTAAGGGTTTTTTAAATAAATATACCCATTTACAAAGACTAACCTCTTTTTTGTGATACGTGGTATACAGCCAGCTACAGGAATTTTTTTTCCTTGTGGATTTTTTTTTTAAATAATTCTTTGTACCTACAAGTACTGAGAATACAGTAATGTCAAGGGTAACCATGTAAAGATTTTAACAAAACATTCAAAATTGTTGTCTTTCTCTTAGCCTGTGACCTAAGAGTTATATGCTTTCCTATTACTTGTTCCAATCATCATCCAAACTTATCATATTATTTTTGTAGTAGTAACTTCATTTTTAAATGAATATTCCAGATACTTGGTTCTAATTATCTCTCAGTATTTCCAAAAAACACCATGTCATCAGCATATATTAAACACCAAGTGATGTCATTTTTATATTCCTCTGTTGCCTGAACCTACCACAGCCCACAGCTGTCCTAACACTAGTTGTTATTCTCTAGCACATATCTCTCCCAATTTTCACATACTCAATCAAAATGACTTTTTTATTAAGTACCCTTTGCATTGAATACTGTTTCTCAATGATTTATCATATGAGAGTTTGTTTTTTTATTCATATATTTGTCTATCAACTACCTAATAACGAAAAACTTAAAAATTGTTGCAAATATTGGAAAATACTAATCAAACCAAGTTTGATTAATTGTCCCCCTTCTATAAAAAATTAAATTTCCGGGTATTACAGTCCAACAAAATTAAATTCAGGAAGATACTAAAATAGAGTCACTCACCAAGAAAGGACATGTGGAAAAAGCAACTTAAAATTTATTTCTACATACTTCTATTTATTTCTAGCATTGACGAAGTAAAGTTTTAAGTAGAAATCATAAATAAAATCAATCTGAGTCTAGTGTGCCAAACTGCTATATCCAAGTATGTGCTATGCAGCTATTATTAGAAATTGTAATTCAAAATTCTTATGTCATAATAAATACAAATATATTATTGTATATATACAAATTTCACTAATAACTTGTTGATAAAATAGTTGATATAAAGGATACTACTAAAGACTGAGTAGAATAATTTGGTACTGAACCAAGACTAGCTTAATAGCCAATATAAGTTAAAAGTAAATAAAAATCTGCTAGTCTCCTACATTCAAAGTAATCTTTAATTAATGAACCAAGCAAAAATGTTTCTATGATTTCTTTAAACCTATATACCATTATTAATTATACAAACAAGGACTTTATTAAAAGAGTAATAATAAACATTATTTCCACTAGAATAATATTTAGATCAATTACAATATTTATTTAGTAAAAACAGTAAATGTTTTGGTGGCAATTCAGCTATATAAATAAAATTTTGTAAGACAAATTATCAGAAAAATAAGTAAGGTTTACATTATTTATTTACCTCACTGACCTTGAAATGCATTTTAAGATAAAATACACAATAAAATACTACTAGAGAACAAAATAATTCAAAACAATGTTAAATAAACAAATTGTTGATTGAATCATCACAATTAAGAGTATACAGTAAACAATTTGAACAATTTTAAGACAAACTGACATACACTGTGCTGAGATTTAAGTTTTTTAAATATATATTATTGGTATAGTACTTGAATGTCCTTTAAATTAAAATATTTTGTTGTTAGAAATTATGTTTATTAAAAATAAGTTTTAATAAAAATGGTGATGATAAATTAGGATAACTAGAAAACAAAGGCAAAGATAATGTGTATTTATAATATTTGAAAATCAATTACAAAATAGTGTTCCAAGATTCAAGATTGTCTAAAATTGCGTTATTGAAATACCTGATTAAAGGAGAGGCTGCATCATTGATGGTAATAGACTCTATATACTAGCTTAGATATTAACTTATGATTCATAATAGATGAAATGAGAAAAATTAAATTCAAGAAATGATACAAAAATGTTATACAGAAGTTAATCAAAGATCAATTGAAATGATTGCCCTAAATATATAGATATCATATTACACAAATGATATATTTATGCACCAAATATTTGCTTCATTAACTAATAATTATGCCCTTCAACAGTGCCTTTAGGCAGTAGATGATAGTTCAGAGTGTAAAATATCTCTTGAAAAGCAACTTAAAATGTTAATAAAACTACTTACGTCTGTAACTTTAAGCCTTACAATAAAATTACGCGAAGTGCATAGCTTTAACCACAGTCAAAATAAAAATGTTCAAACTGGACAACGGGCACACATTACATAAAAATTACTATTCATACACATATATTACATGCCTCACAAGATCCAGTTTTCCTGAAAAACCAATAAAGATGTTTATATAAAGTATGAAAATCATATTTTCAAATGTCTTTCACCTTTTGTTTGTAGTGATCAAAACTATCATTACTTTTTTTGGTACTCACCATGTAATTATAACATAACAAATTCGTGTACAGTATTTACAACTCTCGATTCTAATAGAGAACTATAAATTTACAAAATATTAGAGATTTTTATTAATTTTCTAAAATTCTCAACTTTACCATCACCTAGAATGACATACAACTGACAATTGAAAGTTGTACGGTAACGATGTGTCGTTGTCATTTAAGTTGCATCAAAATATCCATGAGCAATGACGTCATGGGGCATTTTTTGATATCGACAATTCCTTTTTATTGATAAATTTATCTCTAAAAAATACATTGTTTTCTGAATTTATAGGATGTAATTTCGATTTACTTTTCCCTAACGTTTCGTCTGCAACTGCAACAACAATGATCAAAGACAATGTATCAACGATTATAACTCTATTTCGCTCACTTATGTTACACTTATGTTTTGTACTTAATAATAAGTAAGACATTTACGACCATTACTGCGTTCATATTTATAATTTCTGCCGCTTTTTTAGTCCTTCCTGACGTTTTGTAAAAATTGTCAGGTATAAACAATTCAAGACCACGCTTATGAACCGCGAAAACAATTAATGTATCATTTCCAAATACCCGCCAAAGTTTTTACTCACATATACTTTTTCATATTAATTATATTCATAGATAAATAATATAGTAATTATATTTTTATTAAATAATTAACTATTTTATTACACAACTCCTTTCTTAGCAGGAATCTAAAAATCGCAAGTATATATTTTTGTAACTATAATTGTAATTGTTAAATATTTTAAAAAAACTATTGTAAAAAAAATAATTATTACACTTCTTCTTTTTTTAGCTATTTTATTCTTGCTATTCAGCACATATTTTTTTAGTGATTACATTTACTTTTTGGACCACAAATATATTAAAAATAGGCCTTACTGATTTACTGAATTTTATTTTACCCATTCCTTGCATCCTTGCCCGTTGAAGCCTTAATATTTCCTTGATTGCAATTCTTTTATTTGAAAATTTTTGAGGTTATGTTATACTTAGGCGGGAAATACTTCATTTATTTGCTTTGAATAACTCTTTTGATAAAATACAAAGTTATTACAGATAAATATGGGTATTTTAAATTTAACTAAACTTTTAGCTGATGTAGCTCCTCAAGCGTTAAAGGATTATGAACTAAAAAACTATTTTGGTAAGTAATAATTTTTACTGTCACCATAATTTTAATTTTTCATGATTTTGATACATACCAAAGAATATAGACGCATAAGCGTTAGTTAATTAAAAATATTGAAAATATTAATTCTGATTGATTGATAATATCTTTGTTTGATTATGATTAGAAACTTTAGAGCAACAAATATAGATGCACATATGTGTCTATATTCCTTGGTTCCACTTAGAAAAAATGATAATGACATTTTTCTTCAATATGCATCTATATTATTTGATTAGGAGTGAGTACACCTAATGTGTACAATGTGTAATTCCATTAGCCTTATAGTATTACAGAATAAATAGGAAGATCCATAGTTCTTCAAATATAATCATTTCAGGAAGAAAAATTGCAGTAGATGCCTCTATGTGTCTTTATCAGTTTTTAATAGCAGTTAGAGCAGAAGGAGCACAACTAACTTCTGCAGATGGGGAAACTACATCTCATCTTCTGGGTGAGTATACTTGAGCTCAGGTATTTTTTTGTGTTTGGATATTCTCTGAACTGTTGTCCACATTGATTGATGTTTAAATATATAAATACTTACATAAAACATTATTTTTTAGGGACCTTTCATAGAACTATTCGTTTAGTTGAAAATGGTGTGAAACCTGTTTATGTTTTTGATGGAAAACCACCAGACTTGAAATCAGGAGAACTTAATAAGAGACAGGAAAAAAGAAACGAGGCTCAAGCAGCACTTGCGAAAGCTACAGAAGCTGGAGATGCAGCTGAGATTGATAAATTTAACAGAAGGTTGGTAAAAGTCACTAAACAACATTCTCAAGAAGTGAAGCAGCTATTGACCATGATGGGAATACCATATGTTGATGCTCCATGTGAAGCTGAAGCTCAGTGTGCTGCGTTAGTAAAGGCGGGAAAAGTATATGCTACTGCTACAGAGGATATGGATGCACTTACTTTCGGCTCAAAGGTTTGACACTAAATTATAAGATAAAACATAATGAAATACATTTTTAGTCTCCCATCTAGAAGTCAATTGGGATATTATAACAAAATATTTTTAATTTTAGTAACCAGTTCTCACCTACATTTAAAATTAAATTTATGTCCACATTTAGTTTTCTTGTTGTTGCTTTTTGGTTTTATAGTAGATTTATAGAGATATGTGGTACTATACACAATATTTTACAGGTCTTAGTAAGGCACATGACATTCAGTGAAGCAAGGAAAATGCCAATTCAAGAAATTCATTTAGATAAAGTTTTAACAGGATTAGATTTAACTCAGGAACAGGTTTGTATAATTAAATGTTTTTTTTTCTCCTTATACATATAATATGTAAGTTTCATAAGAAAACTGCCGTACATAAATATATAAAATGCATTTAATTTGGATTTTAAAGATTTTTCCATTATGTAAATTTGTTTCGATTTTTTTTAGTGTTACATAACTATTTACTATTTATAAAGTTTTAGTTAAAGGCTCAGTGATCGTCATTATCAATATCACAAAATCTGTAGCATTCACTGCTAAAAATAGGCCTCCCTCAGTTGTGTCTCATTCATGTCTCAGTGCTCCCAGTTTCTTAAGTCTTCTGCCACCTTGTTGGGGATCCATCCCTACATTTATATACCTGAAATCTAACTCAGTATTTCATTTATGTGTTATAATTATGTGTGTTTTTGCAGTTAAAACATAATTGTTTACTTTCAAGTCATATAATGAGTTTGACACTCAAATTTTTGTAACTGATTAATAAGTTTCAATAACAACTGTAACAAACTCTCGTAGTAGTGTAGATATTTTATTATAAAATACATATTTGTTTTAGTTTATTGATCTGTGTATATTATTGGGTTGTGATTATACAGATAGCATAAGGGGCATTGGTCCGAAGAGGGCAATAGAGTTAATCCAAAAACACAAAAGTATTGAAAACATCATTCAAAACATTGACAAAGACAAATACCCAATTCCAGAAAATTGGAATTATGAAGGGGCTAGAGAACTTTTCAAGAATCCAGAAGTGTCTGGGGTAGATGATATTGAAGTAAGTATTCATAAATCATAATTATTTATGACTTCATTAGAAAACTATCTTTTTTTTTTAATTCTCGTTAAAACATTACCAAACTTATATCATATCAAAGAGTGTTTGTAGTCTTTATTGGTTGGTATTTAGTTTTCCACTCACTGATGGTTTTTGTTGAATATATATGTTACTTATAGCTCTCATGTACCATTTCAGTTGGTCTGAATCATTGGAATTTTTTGTGTGTTTAGTGATAGGTTTCTTTAGCATTCAAAATTTTTGATTTTTTTACATCTCATCCTTTTTATTGCATGGTTTGTCACATTATATCAATATACTAGCCCTATGTAACAAGTAAGTTACCAGCATCACAAATTCATATATGGATTAACATAAATGTTAATGCTACTAGATCATCCAGTGTCCACACAAGCAGAATTACATTTGTTGTTAATTCTATTAATATATTTTAATTCATCCTGATTTTAGTTAAAATGGGGCGAACCAGATGAAGAGGAACTAGTGAAATATTTATGCGGAGACAAAAATTTCAGTGAGGACAGAGTGAGAAATGGTTGCAAAAAACTATTGAAAGCCAAAGGCGGATCAACACAGGGTAGATTGGATGGGTTCTTCACTGTTCTTTCCACTACTCCAGCGAAGAGAAAGGTAGATGATAAGAAAAATACTCCAAATAAGCGAGGAAAAGCAACAGGAAAAGGAAGGGGTAGACCAAAATAAATAATAGTATGGATATGTATTTTTATGAATATCAATATAGATCTAATGAGAGATTTTTCAAACAGGGAAAAATTGTTTGTTTAGGATAAGTCGGTGTAAGATAACTTTAATTAAACTCAAACAATTATTGTTTTCCGGTTGGCTTTAAGTATGCCCTAAGTAGAAGATGTAACATACATGGAGGTAAGATGGCTAGTGTCAGTTATTAATTATAAAATATGTATTAAGATTATATACTGTATTGTTTGACAAAATTTGTCAAGGTTTATTCTTTATAAATAAATTGGAAAATGCTGGACATTCTCTGGATTTTTCAATGCAGTTTTTACGCATCACATGGAGTCAGTCCATGTCAAACAAAGAGTAACAAACAGTGCATAGTATCATCTTCTTCAGAACTGATAGCTTTATCTAGTTGCAATTGACTCTTCAAAGGTGTCTTCCTTTCCTAGTTTTTTCTTCCAGGCATTCACTTAAACCAAGATTTCCATGTTTTAGATGTTACCCTTTATTTGGCCCAGTAGGATGCGATATGGTACACCAAAAACCTTTGCTGCATTCATGGTGTAGTTAACCATCGGTGATTTGACTTACAGCATTTGATATGTATTCCTCATATTATCTAAGCATGTTGAAAAAAATAAAATGTGTGCAGTTAATGGACAAAAATTAAATTCAAGTTGATGCCGCACATGACCAGATGTGATATCTGTGCTCTGAATCACTTCGCATAGGACATAAAAGTCTCACACTATCAAAGCCATCGATTCATAAATCAGGATATAAATGAATACTAAACGTTTCTGTGGAATATATCTAAAACTTGTGGAACTCACTCACTAAACTGATAGGGTTGTTAACTATTTTTGGGACAGTGTATAAGTACCTAATCTAATCAAAATATTTAATATTATTTTTTTGTAGTAACTAACTAAAACTGAGCCCCAAAAGCAGATATTTGTCACATGACTGATATGACTTCATATGTTCCTAATATTGGTAAACAATTCTAAAAAAAAATCTTTAGTTCGTTAAGTGTTAATAAGTATTGTGTAGAATCTCAATATATAAATGAGACAAGTAAAACAGTTAAAAAGATATTTATTCATTTTTCCTGTTCGAAGAATTGAAGGAATATATGGCTCCAGCTAGTCCATAGAGATCAGGCACGTGTGTCTGGATAAATTAAAGTGTATTTTGGTGAAGATCAAGTTGATCTAAGTTTTAATATTATATTTTTTTTATAAGAAGTCATTCTTTTTTAACTTTTCAAAGAAAATTGGAATATTAAGATTAGAAATAAAGTAAAGGATGTTGGGTAATAATGGTTTATTCTTGTGTTCTGTACTATTATTAAATACCTATAATTGCTATTATGTAGTCATTGTCGGTAACAGAGATATCAATTCTTTGTATATTACTTACATGGAGTTCTTCACAGTTCTAAATTCAGTAGAGCAGAAATTACTGTTTGTCCTTGTCATAGCGCTTATGATCTTTGTCCATGCCTCTTAGTATACTATCACTAGTGAGAGTTATATTAGTCAAAAGATGTTTCATTTTAAAGAATGCAGATGTGTATAAAATTCGAGCTCCAGGTCTATATCCCCTTGCCCTTGTGCTAAAAGCTTCTTAAAATCGTTTTCAAAGAGGTTTTAATTTATAATAGGTAAATGTCAACATATTTGCACAAAATTCAGTGCAACATTAGATGAACAACAAACAACCTAGCCAGTGACGGTGATGTTTGCGAACAAGTGACCTCATTAAACTGATTGAAGTTTTTCACCTCTCTTGAGAGTAATCTACATTTTAATTACTTAAATTTCATAAGAATTAAGAAAAATATTGTTTTTTTTTTTATTTTCTTGAAAATATCCATATATGGTATTTATCCACACACTAGCATCTTGCACCGACTTACCCGAAAAAACATTTGTTACTTAAATAAGTTTTTTAATGTTTGTAATCGTTTATTGTTAATTTCATATAACTCAAAAATTTATTGTGAATGGTATTTGTATGGATACAGCTATAATAGATCTAATCAAATTGTTGTAATAATGTAAAATGGTTTAACTTAAAAAATCTGCTACTTATATAAGCTTTTACATTTGTAATTATTTTCTACCAGTATGTGAGCAGCAGAAGTAGTTTAACTTTTTTTATTTTTTATAATCAAACAGTTTGTCTTGAAATCATTATTAATGGAATCAGTTTTGTAAGTATTAAAAATTGACTGAAAAAATTAAACAGTAAAAATAATGATAAAAGAATATTTTTTTATTCACTCTTACCTTCCCAATTTAATCCTTCTCTCTCCTTGCCTCATTTTATGGCCATATTAATGTCTGCAAATATCTGTTATATATGCTATCTAAAGCTACTAAGAGAAAATGATGTATACAGTCGATACATACGTTTTATAATTAATATGTATTAATATGAACATTAGATTTTAAGATGACACCGAACTAACACTCTAGACCAGCGGTTCCTAAATGGTGCGCAGAGGTTCTGCTCCCTTCCGACAGTTAAATAAAACATTCGTAGAAAAAACTCATAACTACATCTAATTACGACTTTAATTTTAATACTATTATAAGAAAATGTGTGAAAAAATTTCATTCTTCACATTGAAATAGTTATAGTTACTTACTTAATTGTATTTATCTTTGTATAATAAATATTTTGTATTCCTTATATTATCTTTCATTTATAATTTCTTCTTCTTTTTACAGTCTTACATGAAAAATATTTAAACTACAAGGTAATTTCTTTATTTATCAAAATAGGGTTCCGCCAAAAAAAAGATCGTCAATTAGGGTTCCGAGACAAAAAAAAAATTGGGAACCTCTGTTGTAGATTATCAGTCCATTAATTTTTCATAAATAGTTTTAACTGCATACAAAATATTTTCGAGTATTTTGTATAGTAGCCTGAGGGCTTTGATAGTGTCCTAAGAAATAAATTGTATGAAGCCATGGTTGAATTCCACATCCCCGATAAACTGATAAGATTGGTTAAAGCTACAATGCGTAAAGTTGTTTGCAAAGTCGAAATACAGGGCGAACAATCACAGGCATTTGAAACGCATGTTGGGCTGCGACAGGGAGATGCGCTGGCGTGTCTCCTTTTCAACATAGCTCTGGAGAAGGCGGTCAGGGATGCCCAAATAGACAACAGGAGAAACATTTTTAATAAATCATCACAAATTTTGGCATATGCAGATGATGTTGACCTAGTTGCCCGCACAACACCACGCAAACTAGAAGAAATGTATACCACCCTGTCAAATGCCTAAAACAATATGCCCTGCAAGTAAATGAGGAGAAAACTAAGATAATGGCATCAACACCCAACAATAGAGCCAGAAACATCGGCTACCAATTCACGGTTGATAACTCTACATTTGAAGTGGTGGACAAATTCACATAGTTAGGCTCCCTGATCACCAAGGAGAACGTGATGACGGAAGAAATCAAGCGAAGAATAATCCTAGCAAACAAATGCTATTTTGGATTAAGTAGACATATGAGAAGCAGAAACTTAAGCCTAAAAACAAAAATAACCATATACAAAACCCTTATACAACCAGTGTTGACATATGGATCATTTCCAAGGCAGATGAAAACCTCAGATTCGGTGTCATCTGTGAAAGTGGTATTTGGAGAAGGAGATACAACTACGAGATATATCACAGATATAAATATGATGCACAAATGCGATGGTCAGATGACCTGAAGAAACACGCCTGGTCAAAATGGATGCAAATTGCCCAAGATAGAGAGTCATGGAAAAAGAATGAGCTATATCCAAGGATGGATGTTTAGGGCTGTATAGATAGATAGATAGATAAATATATATTTGATGGTAAAGACATAGTATCTCTTATAAAAATACGAAGACTAAAATGGGCAGGACATCTGGCAAGATCACAACAGAACAACCCTCCTAAAAGAATCCTTATATCATAACCTGTGGGAAGTAGAAGTAGGGGTAGGCCAAAACTTAGATGGAAGGATGGTGTAGATGAGGATGGTAGAAAAATAGGCACAGCAAACTGGCAATGGATAGGACTGCCTGGCGTAATAGACTTGTGAAGGTCGAGGCTCTTTTATAGATCTGTAGCACCAATGATGATGAAATAGTTTTAACAACAGTTGAATTTTAGGTTATTTAAAAAAACAATCGATGTGTACACAAGTTTATTTTTAATAAAATATAAAACTATATTATGCAAATATCACATGAGTATAGATAACATTCATTATATGTTGATAAACATTTTTTTGGTTTTATTATGTAAATAAATGTACAACAACGTATATCATTTCATAGCTAATACATTTACGAAACCTGTAGATGACTTAAATTCATTACTATGAAAGTACCGTACGCGTTACCGAATTAAATAAAGAAATAGTGAAAACATACAGTTAACATAAATAGGTCGGCAGAGAAAAATTGATTTAAAATACAAACACTCCTCTATATTGTATCTTCTTAATGTAGATTGACAATCAATATGGTATACTACCACATTATCAACTAAATACTAGGCCTGAAACCTGGTATCTTTGATTGATCGCGTGTTTCGTCATACAATGTTGGAATCTTAAAGGAACTAACTTGCATAAAAAAAAATCTCAGACTAATGGCAAGTTTATATAGCCCGAAATTAGACAATCCCAACATTGTACGGAAATTATTGTCCACTTCTAGAATTATACCCCAAACTGTACAATGTCCGAAATGATCAAAATTCGAAATGATTATCGAAACGCTCATCGATTCGAATCGATTATTAATGACAAGCGACACACCCAATCAAAAATCGAACATTTATTGTTAATTATTTGATATTTTTATATTTTCTATTTATTTATGTATACAGATATAAAATATAAATAATAACAAATTATTCTACAATAAAGTGATAATATTAGTGAAACATTTCAAAGCTTGAAAGCCTCGGGAGATTACATCACTATAATAGAGGGAAGATGTTTGTGAAACATTTCAGATTTTCAAGGGATGTGTATGATAATTTAAAATAAGTTAATCCGGACGATTTTCACATTTGGTCCCATTGAAGATAGCTTCAAATGGGTTTGACAGAAAATGACAGAATGAAATATTGGTGTTTCACAGTGTTGAAATTTATATTACAAATTAAACATACGCAATTAAAAGCAATAAGATATTTAAAAACTAATATTTAACGATTACGAAAAAAGAAAAAGTAAATAGTTTTAAAACAGTTTTTAACAGTAAATAGTAAAATGTCAGTATAAATAATAAAATTTAAACAGTATCTGTTGCAATCTGGCAGCTGGTGGTTTGAGGGTTCTGACTCTATTGCCAAATCTATCCGCTAACCTATCAAAGGGCAATTGCCAAAAAAATTTCTAATAATTTATTACAACTTATATCAAACGAAACAAATATTACTTCATTAATATTTTATATAAGGTATAAAATTGCAGAATCCATAAAATAATATGATAAAAATGTACCTTTTAAAAGCTTTATCTCTTTGTATTTGAAGCATATAACATATACATTATAAGAACATGGCAACACTGCCAACGCAATATTTCGTTCTGTGAACCTTAATTGACAGCTAATTTGAGGCTATCTTCAATGGGACCAAATGTGAAAATCGTCCGTTAATCCTATAATCCAGAAGTCAAAAACCCTGATTAATTATGGATTTATAACCTCATTCATGTTTTTTTGTCTTAAATAACAAATGGGGAATAATAGTAAAAATCAATGCGAATCGATATCTGTCATATTCTCCCAAATTTTGAGGCATCGCTGCTTGCTGAAATTCGAACATTGTACAGCAATTAGATGGCAGCAATGGTTAGAACTGAATGGCTAAGAATACTTAAGAAGATTCAGAATCTAGTTTAGAGCTGTCGGGATAATGCTGGAACTTCTTTGTTTTCGATGGTATATGGTCCATTTACTCTCCAAATTGAAGATCTTCCCGACTGGTCAGTGTTTTTCGTAGAATCAAGCAAGAAGCCACTGCCAAAGGAACACTAAAGAGAGAGGAAATCTACATCTGTAAATCGCTGGATGAAATATATTGATATAAAAGATTATATTGAAAAATAAAACATCATGCAAAGCATAAATTGTTTTCATTATCACGCCATGAACTTTTCAGGACATCACCAGCATATATTATAGTAATTTCCGATTTACTTCATTTCTTTTGTGTCCACTATTACGAAATAAATTCACAAATGAATTCTGATCATATCAGTTACCGCTTTTGCTGATTCTTTATACATTTTTTTAACATATAAAACGCTGACACTCGGTTAATTGTTATTAATCTAAATAGATAATTTAGAAACCAGATTTTGTAGATGCACGTTTCCGGAAGATTCACTCCTTTTCCTCAAATATTCTTTGGTTGTTTTCTGAAACCAAAATGAAAAATAACATAAGTAAAAGTGAAGTAACATACTAGGCTATTGAGATATAAAAAACATGGGCAAAAGGACGTAAGGCGTTCAAGGAATGTTATTGTTTCATATGGACTAACTGACCTCTAAAAAAAATCAAAAAGTGCTACTTAATGGAACCTATAACTAACTCGAAAACTAGACTTATCACTAACCAATGCATTACTGGAACTATAACTGGGGTTGAACTCTCTGGACACGAACAGAAGGACTGTATCTCACACTGCGAATTGGACTTGCTATTAAGTCGGCATTGAACACAAAACTTGGAAAACTGGGACAGGTAGAATTGCACTACAATTACCATTAAATTGCTACTATTAACCGCTACTATAATTTTTCCATAACGTAGGACAAAGAATAAAAGGACATTACAAATTTGATGATAAATTTGGACTCAAGCTAAAATGTCTGCCTCTGGCAGCTATATGAGCAATTATATTGAAGGCAGAAAACGTGGCTTAAATAAGACACACATAAACAAGAATTAAAACGCAAATTATTTCAAACACACTATCGAGCCAATCGAGCGGTTCAAATCAAAGAAAAATATCGAAGAATTTGCGCCTGTGACATAAACAAACAATAAAATGGTTTACATTAACACCCAGCAATGCAAATAAAATGATTGAAAACACTTTTGGGTATTTTAACTTTTACGAATAGGAAACTGAAGTACACTGAAATTATTATATCTTTATTTTAATTCATATATGAGGGGATTTCAAATTAAAACATATACGAGGGGATTCCAATATATTTGAATATATATTTCAAAGAATTTGGAAATGCTACAATGTGGGTCTGAGTCTTTGGGTTGAGATTGAGTGGGAGATTGATGCCTGTGGATCCTCCTATTGATGTGATTTTCTGAAGTTCTGATTGTCTTCAGACAAGCGTATTAATGACTGAATTAATTTGTGAAGGGGGATGATGAGAGTTGGCATGCAAGTAACGATTGGTATGGGTGGGTTTTCGATAAACAGAGTGGTTGAAAACCTTGGGATTGGTTTTTCTTTATAATAACGTAGAGAAACGATAGTGATGAATCAGTTTCCACCTCCATCGTAAACTGGATACTAGAAACAAATTTTATTTACAGTACAAAAGACATTTCAAAATCATACTTTTTACAGGTGAAAATACATACATTAAAATATTTTTTTTTCAAAATAGCCGCTCTAAAATGGCTGCTTTTGAAAACAAAAAATTCGACTTTTTGAAAATTGTTTGAAAGAATCAGGCCTTAAATATTTGTTACGTGGGAAAGTCTTTTACTTAATTGATGTTTACATAGAAATACCTCCTATTGTAATACTAACATTTAAAATGCCGAGTATAGATAAGAAAGAAAATATTTACCATATACTTAGTATCCGAATATCCGCTTTTCACGCTGAGATTCCACAAATTCAAAGCTAAGGTACCGGTATGTGTCACACTCAAATCGCTTCTCGTTGCCAACCTAACAAATAATTCAGTCGCTATCTGGGATTGCCTTCGGCAAGTTCCGAGATCCTTGAGCAAAGTTAGTATTTCCCTAATAACTATAGAGCACATATTGTTGATTTCATTGATGAATTTTGGATCGGAGCCGTAGAGAGCGTCGTTGGATTCAACTGAAACAAAAATACTAATTTACCACAAACAGATTTTTTATAACATGGTAAAAAAATTCTTCTAATAATTTAATTCTATCTGACTCATTCATATTGACAATCCAGACATATATCATACATTTTAAAGTAAATGATTTAAAATTATATTGTCAATATTTTAAGTTGCGTTCCTGGGACGACTTTGTTGAAAGATAGTTCATTCGATTACTTGAAATCAACTTTAACTTAAAAATATCCGTCAGAAAAATCATAGCAGGTGATCTGTCTTTAAAAAGACAAACATGAAATGATTATAGTAAAATTCTCCTGTTAGTGATACCACAGTAAATTGATAGATACTAAACAGACTAAAAAATTTTAAACAAACCTTTTTCTACCTGATATGGATACTCCTCTTGCGCAAATACTGACAACAGATCTAAAACGTTAACATATAATATTCCCAGGTTGCAATACTGTTTGTCCCAGTCTATCTGCCTCATCACATTAAGCAAAGACCGAGTTAGACCCAGCACACCTCTATCTGGATTATCAGGCACCACGAGGAGTGTTGACAAAAATTTTCGTATATAGGTAATAAAGTATGATTCAGATTTTGGTTCTGATTTCTTAATCTGTAGTAGTAAGGTAAGTGCCGCCTTCAAGCAAGCATCAGCTGAAAATGAAACAAAAATCTTAATAAAAAAAAGTAACTCACTATAGTTAATGCAATATAATTTACTTTTATTTTTAATACAGATACTCCGTGTAGGGTTTTATCATGGACGTATATGCTAGATTTTTGCACTGAGTGCCTTTCCCAAAGGCGGATAGTGATATGCCTTTCAAATATCGGTGGTACCGAGGAAATAAAATACTCATGGCGGACCAAAAATCTAGCAATGGAGTCGACATCTTGATTACCATAACTAAATACAAGCAGATAACAAATTTATTAAAATGGTTGCAAAACGGACAACAAGCGGCGCAAGAATGCCTATAAAATTGGCGTTTGTGAAGAGGTACAGCAAATAAAACGAAACTACTGCACTCCCCCACCATCTTTTCTCCTTTGTAAGGATGTATTCGGAGTCTATATTCAGAGAAGCATTAGACGAGGTCCTATGCGGAATTAAGATTAACGGAATCTGTTCTGTATTCAAGACCAGTGTTCTGAACTGACGAGTTCTGTGTTCAAGACCTCACCATCATCATCATCATTATCATTAGCCATTTTGCGTCCACTGCTGAACATAGGCCTCCCGTAAATAATTCCATTGCATCCGATCTTGAGCAACTTGAATCCAGTTACACTGGATGCGCTTTAAATCGTCCGACCACCTTGTTGGAGGACGTCCTCGACTACGATAAGCATCGTGTCTAGGCCTCCACTCTAAAATTTTCTTTGTCCATCTTCCATCACTGACCCTAGCAACATGTCCTGCCCAGTTCCATTTCAGGGTTGTAATTCTTTCAACTGCGTCCGTCACACCAGTTTTTCTCCTTACTATCTGACTCGAAACTCTGTTCCTGAGTGATACGCCCAACATTGACCTCTCCATCGCTCTCTGTGCCACTTGTATCTTATTAATTACTTTTCTGGTAAGTGTCAATGTTTCTGCTCCATATGTCAGAACTGGAAGTACACACTGATCAAAAACTTTTCTCTTCAAGCACATGGGAATAGCTGATTTAAAGACTTCCCTCAGTTTTCCGTAAGCTGCCCATGCCAGTCCTATTCTCCTTTTTAACTCTGTTGTTTGATTGTCTCTTCCCAATTTAATCTCGTGGCCCAGATACTTATAGGAATACACTTGTTCAATTTGCGTGCCATTAGTGGAAATGTTTTTTGCCAGTACCAGGTTGGTCATGTATTGTGTTTTGGAAAAATTAATTTTAAGGCCAACTCGTGCACAAGAGCTCTGAAGGTCTTGAAGAAGTTGGCATGCATGATCTACCTGATCTGCAATAAGGACTATGTCGTCTGCAAACCTCAAGTTGTTCAAAAATTCCCCATTTATATTTAATCCAATGTTTTCCCAATTATTTTTTCTCATAGCACTCTGTAATAGGGCGGTGAATAGTTTAGGAGAGATAGTGTCTCCTTGCCTAATACCTTTCTCCAAGGGAAATGTGTCTGTGTCACCATAGTACATTTTTACAGCAGCTGTTGCGCTATCATATATATTTCGAAGAAGAGTTGTGTACCTATGGTCAATACTGCACTCTGTAAGAGCTCTTAACATGGAGCTATGCTGGACTCAGTCAAATGCTTTCTCAAAGTCTACAAATATTAATATCAATGGCTTGTTGTATTCTATAACTTTCTCTATCAAGGATTTTATTACTTGTAGGTGGTCATTTGTTCCAAAGCCACTCCTAAATCCGGCCTGCTCTAGAGGTTGATGAAAATCTAGCTTAGGTCCCAGTCTGTTAGTAATTATTCTCATAAAGAGTTTATATAAATGAGATAATAAGTTGATAGGTCTGTAGTTGCCAATTTCTGTTACATCTCCTTTTTTATGCAATATTATCATAATGGCATTATTCCATTTTTCTGGCATATTTCCTTCAAAGAGGCAGGCATTATAAAGGGTTTTTAAAGCCTTTATGACGCATTCGCCTCCTAGTTTTATCATTTCACTTACAATGCCATCTTCTCCAGGTGTTTTGTTGTTCTTCATACCTTTTAATGCTGACTTAATTTCCTCTTCGGTTATATCTGGAAGTTCCTCTGACCCTTGATTTAGTATTGCTGGAATGTCTACTTCGGGAATGTGATCATCTCGACTATATAATGTTCTATAGTACTCTTCGATGATTTTTAGTATCTCTTGTTGTTCATGTATGACATGTCCTTGATTATTTTTTAACTTATAAATATTCCTCGTTCCTATTTTCAACTTTCGTTTTAGAACTTTTAGGCTTTTGTTTTGTTCTACGGTATCAGTTATTTCCTTAGTGTTAAAGTTCCTTATGTCTTTCCTAATGGCTTTTGAAATGGTTTTGTTTAAATTCCTTAGCTCTGCAATGTTCGTTGTATGCTTTTCTTTCATTTCCCTTCTTTTTTGCATTAGGTTTCTTGTGTCTTCTGTGAGTTTTTCATTTTTTGTTGAGTGCTTGGCTTGGCACCACTTCTTCTGTGACTTCTTCAGGGCTTCTACCAATTTTTCGTTAAGCTGTTCAATACTGGTTTCATCTTGCAGGTCTTTCTGTAGACTACTCTCTATTTCTTCCTGGTATGCCCTGGTGTTAGTAATCGCAGTGAATGTAACATTATTAGTCCTTGTTACCATATGTCTTCATATGGTAACACCAAACGTATGTGTTTCTATGGTGAGGTCTTCAAGACCTCACCATAGAAACAAAAATAAGGCTCCTTAAATGTTATGTGTCCTCAGAGCTTCTGTACCGAGTAGAAACGTGGACATTGAAGGCGAAAACTCTATCAAAACTTCAGGCTTTTGAGCTACAGTCATAAAGAAGGATCTTGAAGATACCATGGACAAAGTTACCGATGAAGAAGTACTGCGGAGGATGAACACAACTGAGGATTTGGTCAACATCGTGAAGGACGTAAGCTGCAGTACTTGGGACATATAATGAGAAATCAAGGCAGATACGAGCTACTTCAATGCATTTTATAAGATAAAATTGAAGAAAAAAGGACCTCAGGACGAAGAAGAATTTCCTGGCTTGCTAATCTGAGAGCATGTTATAGAAACACCTCAACACAGCTATTTCGTATAGCAACCAACAAAGTCATCATAGCCAGAATGATAGCCAACGTTCGGAACGGACAGACACTCTAAGAAGAAGAACAACAATAATACAATTCTGTCAAGAAGAAAATGTCAGCGTAATGAACAATTGATTTAAGCTTCCACCCCGTAGACTGGTAGTACCCGCAACGTAGTGAATTAAAAAAAATTGTCATTGAAAACATTTTGTTCACTTATTTTTTTAAATAAAATAGGCTGATCATGACGTATAAACATGTATTTTATATCAAAGTAAAGCTAATTTTTTAATATAATAATGATGTAAGATTGTCTGAGAAAAGATGGTCGCAAATTAGGGTCATAAGCTGTTAAAAACGCGAGTTATTAGTGCATTGGTTTGACTATCGACGCATGCTTTAAAAACTAATACAACTTGACACTAGACAAGAAAGAGGAAAACTTCATACCTTGGCCATGTTACAAGAAACAATAGAGCAAAGTTTTTGAAGTTGATTATCGAAGGGAAAATATAAAACGTGAGAGGACTGGAAAAGGCAAAACATTCGTGGTTGGACGATATAAGAGGTTGTACACTGTTTCAAGCTGTAAAGATAGGCATTATACTTCGTTTAGATTGTTGTCAACTTTCAATGAAGATAGTACCATAAGAAGAGTAACACAGACAAATTAAAATACCAGTACGACTTGTTTCTTTGATCTTATTCCCCCGCCCCGCAAGTCATTTAGATCACCTAGACCGTTTTTCGTTTAGATCTTCTTGAACATGAATCCTTCATCGTCTGATACATTAAAACCAACCGGATATACGTTAGGGTGGTCCTTATTTATAAGGAAAAAAATTTTTTTTCGAATTTTTTAGAAATTATTTGCCAGAATGTACCTTTATATAAGACATGAAAATATAACAAATTTCAGCTCAATCGGTTAATATTAACACGTGCCGCATCGACGCTAAAGTTGTGAGATTCAATGTAAGGCAGTTATTACCTATAAGAACGACAATGTACGCTCGACTGTAAACATAAAATTACGCATTTTTTTTAAACTTTAGTATAAAAACATACTAATTAAAATGAAAACGTAAAATAAAGATATAGTTTATCCTAATACTATATTTTTTATTTATTGAAATGATACATCCACTTCAGATACATATTTTGGATTTAAGTAAGCCTCCTTTTGTGGCGACTGGGAACTCTCTCCGGTACTCCTGAACAACCTGAATAAAAAAAAAATATATTGAATGTGTTTTCTGAACCTAGCCTATATAATGTGTTCAAGAAAAAAATAACAAAAAATTAAATTTATCTACTCTACGTCATATTATGTATCAGTTTTTAGTTTGTGAAAACTGTCATTATAGATAGCAGTTCGTGAAGGATTTAAAGTGTGCGTGAAGTACCTGTGTATTTTAAATGGGACTAACTTTTTCACACACTTTCAATGGGTTTTTCACACACTTTCATATAATCAAATATCCTTAACTTTCGCGTTGTCATGGTGATGACATAATGAGCAATTTAGGAAAAATAAAGTGTGGTAATAGTTTGGTGGGGGGGGTGGTTTGGAATGTTAATTTGAATTGTTTTTTGGTTATTAGGGTCAAAGTTACTATTATATTGGTAAATTTATGAATTGGAAATGGTAATTTAATATGTAATTGGTGTGTGTGTGGGGGGTGGTTTGTGAGTGTGTGTGGTATAAAATATTGGTTGTAACTGGTGCGTGATAGGGGTGTATGTGGGGAGGGTTAGGTAAGTGGGGGGATGAATTGTTGGATATCGACGTCCGTAGGTGGACGGGATAGGGTAGAGTTGGGTTAAGAGTGAGGTGAGATTTTTATTTCATATAGGAAATGTTTTAATTAAAGAATAGATATTTGGGGGTTTTAGTATTATGTAAGGGTGAAATTTTGGGGGGGGTGGGGATTGGGAAGGGGTATGTTTTTGAATTGGGTTGAAGATTGATTAGGAAGAAGATGAGGATGTGATGTGGGTTATGTTTTGGGTGTTTTGTGTGGGGGATGAGGGAGTGTTGGAAGAGGGGTGGTTAATGAATGAATAATGAATATGTGTTGATTGTTTGGGTTTTTGAAATTATTTTAATTAGTTGTTGTATTTATAGATTGTTTTGAGATTTTGTAGGTTTGAATAAGGAATGTATTTTTAATTGTAGTAATAATTTTTAGTTTTGATGTTTAAGTTTGTAATAGAATTGAAAAGTTTTTAAATATCTAAGTAATAAAGATAGTTGGAAAAAGGTTAAATAAAAAATGAATGGATATAAATTAAAATTAGGAATTTAAAATAATAGTTAGATTTAATAAAATTTGAGATGATTATCGAATATTAAGCTTGATGTCTCATGTCCTTAAAGCTTTTCTCAGAATTATACATACACGAATTTACAAGAAGTGCGAGTTTCAGATGAGTGACACTCAATTCGGATTTCGAAACGGATTGGGAACACGAGAGGCTCTGTTTGCTTTAAATGTGTTAACGCAACGATGCAGAGACATGAATGTAGATGTATATGCATGCTTTATTGACTATCGAAAAGCATTTGACTGTGTTAACCATCAAAAGATGATTGAAATTCTGAGAACAACTGGAGTTGACGAACAAGACTTGCGAATTATCTCAGAACTATACTGGCACCAAACGGCAACCATTGAAATAGAGCACACAACATCTGAAGATATACAAATCCGACGAGGAGTGAGACAGGGTTGCGTCTTATCACCCCTTCTGTTTAATTTATATTCGGAGTCCATATTCAGAGAAGCATTAGATCAGGTCCAAGGCGGAGTTAAGATTAACGGAATCAGCATAAACAACATCAGATATGCTGATGATACTGTTTTAATAGCAAGCAACGCACAAGAACTACAAAATATAATAAATGCGGTAGTTCACCACAGCGAAATGTTCGGCTTACATCTAAATGTTTCCAAAACGAAAACTTTAGTATTTTCAAAGACACCAATAAACATACATGTGTATGCCAAGGGTCAAATGATAGAACAGGTAAATTCTATAAAATATTTGGGAGCAAATATCAATAGTCAGTGTAACCCAAAAAAAGAAATACTATCAAGAATCGAACAAGCAAGAAGAACATTCATGAGCATGAAAACATTTTTTACAAGATCAGACCTTAGTCTGCAGCTTAGAATCCGAATGATTAGATGCTACGTTTTTTCTGTCTTACTATATGGCTGTGAAAGTTGGACAATGGACTCCGAAATAGAAAAAAGAATAGATGCCTTTGAGATGTATGTATACAGACGAATATTGAGAATTCCATGGGTACAAAGAGTTACTAATGTTGAGGTACTTCGTCGAATGAGTAAACAAAAAGAATTACTAAGAATAATCAAAGAGAGGAAAATGCAATACTTGGGTCATGTGTTGAGAGGCGAAAAATATAAATTACTTCAAGTTATACTGGAAGGAAAAGTACAAGGCAAAAGATCAGTAGGAAGACGTCAGAACTCATGGCTGAAAGACCTAAGGAGATGGTTCGACCGCTCATCCGCAGAAATCTTTCGCGCAGCAGTTTCCAAAACTACAATTGCCATTTGGATCGCCAACCTTCGAAAGGAGACGGCGCCATAAGAAGAAGAAGAAGATAATCCTCTCTGTTTTCCCAATTCAGCGGATCGTCCTGAAGAAATTCAACACAAATACCGAATCGTTTAAATAACTGAAGTGAATTGGCGGACAATAATTCAGTTGGTAGATCTTTTTGAACAAAATTTTGGACATCTCGGATTTGCAACGATAGTTTTTTCTCAATGACTTCTGTCTCTTCATTTTCTTCTTCTTTTTCATTCACAGTCTCTATGTTTTTACTTGCACATTCCATAATTTTTTGAGCCATTCTAATTTTTTCAACTCTCTCAATTCTATCGTCAAATATTGCCATGGCAGCACACTCTTCACTTAGATACCATAAATGGTTTAAAAATTTTGTTATTGCAATGGTTGCAATGTTTTCATTAATATTTTTAAATGTAACCAATTTTCTCAAAAAATATATATCATTTAGGGGAGCTCCTGTAGTATTCGTTGCTGAAAACCAGGCCTCTACATAACAGTATACAACGAAAACGCAAATTTCTGCATTCAGTTTGGAATTATCCTTTCTCATTTTCATTTGATCGCGAAATAAAAAAAGTTTTAAACAATAAATCGCTTTAGCCATCCATCTCGCTAAATGATATGCACCGGGGGCCCTAAAACTCACATTTGTTTTATCTCCCAAAAAAATGAGCGTCAATTGCAAAAACTCTTTGTAGTCATCACGTGGTTGCTCTTCTGCAAGTTTCTGTTTCACAAAATAAATAATTTCGGGCGCTACATCTTTCAGTGCATTATAAACGGCTTCATCGCTGGTATAATCTAAAAATTTCATTTTATCAATATTCTTCCAGTTTTCTTTAAGTGCTTTGAATTGAGCAATTTCAGGGCCGGATGTTACAATTGCTTTTGTCCTCGTGAATACACCAGCCAAAACGACCTCAAATATATGGTGTCGGCATGGAAGCCACAAAATATCTCGCCCTAACCTTTGTTGAAGCAGAACTGCAGCTCCTTTTATACGTCCAGTGTTTGATGCTGTAGTATCAAAACAAAAGGCTTGAATTTTTTCGGTTAAATTCCATTCATCAGTGATATGGAACACAGCAGAGCAAACTTCCGATCCTGCTGATGATGCAATTCCAGGTACTCCTAATAATTGTTCAAAATCTAAACCAACCGCGATCACAGGAAGCCGATCAATTTTCTCATTTTTTGTGATATCAGGCAATAATTTGGAATCCCAATGCACTTCAATAAAATTTGCATCATTTCCTACCGATTTTATTGATGAATATTTTATTTTCCGCAAAATCTCTCTATTTCTTTTGATAGACGATCTATTGAGAACAAACTCGGTGATATCTATATTAAGAGCTTCTAGGACGGCAGAAATAATATGCATTGCATCCCTGTCACTCACTTTACATTTGTCCAAGGCAGCGGCCAGGCGAGGTGTCATTAACGTCTTTCGTCCTCTCTTGTTTGAAGATGGACCCTGTTGAGATTCCGATATGAAATATATGTCATCTTCACTGTTGTCTTGATTTATCACTTTTTTCTGTGAATCTTCGTGTTCTTTATCTTCCATTTCAAAATGTCCAATCGAACAACTAGAATTTTCCAACAAATCTTCTTTTCTTTTCAACTCTGCAGCTGTGCGTTCTTCTTTCCGCTTTTCCTTACGTAATAATTTGATATCTACTCCCAACATACAACCTACTCTACCTTTCTCCCTTTGCTTAATTAAAAATTCTCTATCTTCGGCGATTTTAATCTCATTTAACGCATTTAAGGTGGCAATATCGAAAAGGTTGTCTAAAGCTTCTTTAAAATCATTTTCTTTTTCTCTCTGCCGTTCAGTATCTCTATTTTTAGATTTTTCTAAATTTCTGACATTATCGTACAAAGATTTTAATTTCAAAATACAGTTTGAACGGTTTTGAACTGGGATTCTTGCTTTTTTCCAAAAAACGACCACTTCATCAATAACTAAAGCACTGCTGTCATTAAGACTTAAATTTACCACTCTCATGTTATAAAAAAAGTACACTCAAAACATCTCGTTTACATGGTAATTTACTACCGCAGATTTGATTTTTCATCACTCCAACTAGATAAATATTGTTCCGCAAAGTGGACATTTCAGCACTTTTATCAATTACTTATATAGCACGTCTTTTCTTATGCACTTCAAGTACGAAACTAAAACGAATGTAGCATTGAACAAATAATATGTAAAAACAAAATTGACTTGTCGAGACTTATAGTCGCGCTTGTAGCGAATTCGAACGCACTTGGCGCCGACTCGTCGTAGCATGTTAGACAGTCAGATGCATGAAACTTCAAGGCCAATGCGGCACGTGTTAATATTATCGGATTGAGTTGAAATTTTGTATTTTTAATGTTTTGGTGTAACTGAACAAAATTACAAATAATTTTGAAAAAATATGAACTTTCGAAAATAAGGACCACCCTAATATACGTCATAATAAATTCAAATAATAAAATACAAGTAGTAAATATTTACCTTGGCCCAAACATTGATTAAAAAGAGCCACTTGTCCAGAGAGTAAATAGAGTTCCAGGCGAGTTGTGGCAGATAGTATAGAGGGAATAGTTATAAAACAATATGCTGCACAGGCCCTCACGAAATCGCCAGTCTTTCTTGAGTGCATACCTTTCATTATTTGTCGAGTATTCACAGAAAGGGTGTTAACTTGCTAAAAAAGAAATCCCGTATTATAGAAATATATAATTAAAAAGATAAAATTTGTATAGGCAGTTGCAATTTTTTGAGAGTCCAAATTTTATGATTTAGTGTAATCATTATTGGTTATAACTGACAGCTTGTTAACTTAATTGTAGTATGCAATCTATTTACTACATTGTAGACTCGAAATTTGGTTTTATTGTTCCTTCCCGGCCGTTACAGGCAGAGACTAGAAGAGTACACAATTTCCGCTTATGAACCAGCCAGTTCAGACTAGTGGGACCAGTCAGCCTTGAATCCGCTCGCAGAGATAAGTATCCCCCAAGAATTGTAGACGCGCCCAAGGATTTGAGACAGGCGTGTCTTTAGACAATGAGGACAGCGGCATTTATTTGAATGGTGACAGTAGGGTTCCCGCGAATATTATAATCGGTTCGCCAATTATTACAGTATCATTAAAGAAAAAACTGGCTTATGAGAATTTCTTCAATTCAGAAAATATTTCTCGTGACAGTTGGAAAGTTATGAATTATGACAGAAATAAACTTCAAATAAAAAAGTCTGTCCAAGCGCGATTACATCAAACGATTTCAATAATTACTTAATGATACTCTGTCAAATGTTTTAAGTATATAAATAATATTTTGTAATATAGGTATCTACTTTTATTTTGATAATTTTACTCTAATACATTATAGTACTACTAGCTAACGTGTACACTTTAGCCCCACTTTACTCTGCTTTTTCACTTTCACTCACTTATAGCACCAACTCAAACGGCTTTTGTTCATGACTCTCTTCAAACTTACTTATTGTCTGGATAATCGTATCCATCTGGAGGTCTCGATGAAGATCACAGTTTCTGAAGTACCATGGAGCGTTAACGATGTTCCTTAATATTTATTTATTCTGATATCGTTGTATAATTGGGATGTTACTTTCTTTTGTACAGTCCCATAGCTGTATCCCATATGTCCATATCGGTTTAAGGACTGCCTTATACAATAACAATTTGTTATATAGACAGAGTGGATTTTTTCTCTTCGACCAGTACATCTTTCTGAACTTAATTTCTAATTCCTCCTTTTTTTTTTCTTAATATGTGCTTTCCAACGTAACTTGGAATCTAATGTCATACCCAAATGTTTTGCCGTATTTGCATAAGGTATTTAGTTTCTATTTATACTAACTGGGATATATTGTTCTCTTTTGTTAGTAAACTTGACATGAACAGATTGTGTTTCATTCAATTGGATACGCCATCGCCTGGTCCAGATCTTAATTTGTTCAACAGAGTTCTGTAGCATGGTTGCTGCATCCTCGTGGTTTTGTCCGACTGCTAGAATGCATGTATTGGTTGCAAATGTCGCAATTGTGTTAGGTTCTAATGATGGAATATCGCTGGTATAGCACTGGCACCAGGACACTTCCTTGTGGAACTCCAGCTTTAATTTCTCTTAATTCTGAATATATTCATATTTAAGTCGAAAGTATCTGTCGGATATATATATGATTCTAGTAGTTCAGAATATTGTTTTGGTAAGTAGCATCTCATTTTATAATATAATCCATCATGTCACACTTTGTCAAAAGCCTGCGCTACATCGAGGAAAATTGCGGAACAGACTTTTCCTTCTTCTAGAGCTTTTTCTACTATATCTGTTATTCTATGCACCTGATCTATCGTTGAGTGGCTTGCTCTAACTCCAAACTGATGATTAGGAATTGGATTTTTTTCCTCTATAATCGGTTTTAGTCTCTTTAAGAGTAATTTTTCGTATAATTTATACATGACAGGCAACAGTGAAATAGACCTATATGAAGAAGCTCCTTGTGGAGGTTTTCCTGGTTTTAGTGTCATTATAATTTCTGCCACCTTCCATATCTTTGGTACGTACCTCAGCCTAAAGGAAGCGTTTACAAGATGTGTTAATTTTATTATAGCTTTCCTTGGACGTTGCTTTAACACTTCCCGAGTAATTAGATCAAATTCAGGAGCTTTCCTTGGAATTTATAATTTCTTTAATTTCCAAATATACTTCTTTTGGAGTTACCGGGCTAATCTCCATTTCATCTTAATCAGGGAGCTCTCAGTTAATTATTTCTTGTTCTTCATTGGGTTGAAAAGTATTTTCTAGGTGGTCAGCAAACCTGTTGGCCTTTTGTATATTGCTTCTTGCCCAGCTACCATTAGTGTTTCTAATTGGTGGATTGTGTAAGATTTGCCTTTGTAAGCGTTTGGTAGCCTTTCAGAATAAGTAATCATTAGCGCTATCATTTGATAATTCACTTAGGTAGATGCTAACCGTTTTAGTATGACTATTTTTTCATTCCATTCATTTATATGTATATATCTATTTTCTTGAATGGTGCCAGACACTTAAATTTAATATTTTTTAAATGGCGATGGAGGGTGAACAATTTCAACGAGCGGTGTATATTTAGTTCCACATGTGGACTGCTTAAAAGAAAAACTGAAAGAAAATGTTTTTTATCCCGCAGAAATCAAACAAAATGAAAAAATTCTTGTGATGGTAGATCAGTTAGATGTCAGGTCCGTAAAGAAATCCCGCAGTAGTCGCAATAATTAGAAGATTTGTCACAATGGATTGACCGAGTATCTAAACCTGATTGGCACGTGTGTATTACATGAATAATACATGATAATACATAAAAGTCGCTTATTCATCCCGTTTTCGACTGTTTTTTGATCTACCTTCTAGATGGAAAACGAGTTTTTAATTGAAAAGTAGCGAAACGATATAATTTACAGAATACAAATTTTTGAAGAGGAGAATGTTTAGTAAATACCCTATTCATTTTTTAAAGTATTATATTTTAATCCAGATTAACAGTTATCTTCTTCATATCTAAAGTGCTTTATTCTAAGAATAAAAAATATTCCCATTGTTTCAATCTAAAAAAGGTTTCTTTCGGGATTCACACACCATTAAAAATGTAGTATTATAAATCATAGTTCATAGTTTTTTACAGATTAACCTTTAGAATTTAAGATAATTTTAAATTGCGTTTTATTTTGTATGGAATATATTGGAATTACAATATCGAAAAAGCCAAATAATATTAGTCACCAAAATTATACTGTAAAAAGCGTAAAAAAGATTACGAGATTCCACGATTTTATAAAGTATTCCACAGTACTAAAAATTCGTTTCGTATTAACAATAGTTTAACACAATAAGTTTACGGTTATTAATTACAGTTTTTCCAATCTTGTACCCGCAGCGACTTCAGATCTTCTTTTGCCGACTCCAGCCATTTTCTTCGGGGGCGGCCTCTTTTTCTTTTTGTACCAGCCTCCCTGTTTATCAATTCATTGGGAACTCTTCCTTCCTTTATTCTTGCTATATGCCCGAGCCATCCTAATCTTTGAATTTTAGCGAGTCTTGTTATTTTTGGTTGCTCATATATTTGCATTATTTCTTCATTCGTTCTTCTTCGCCAGATGTTCCCCTCTTTTACACCGCCGTATATTCTTCTAAGAATTTTTCGTTCCCATCTATCTAATTTTACTTCCATATCTTTATTTAGTGTCCAGGTCTCGCTAGCATAGAGTACTGTAGGTCGGATAACTGTTGTATATATTCGTATATTATCTTCGACCTCAGTATCTTAGTCAGGCTCCCAGCACTCTTATTACCTTTGGCCATTCTTTTTATGATTTCTTGGTTCTCTTCGTTCCTCTTTGTTAAGTGTCACTCCCAAGTAATCGAATTGGCTAACAACTTCAAAGTTATATTCTTTACTTGGGCTTTGTATCTTAAAGGACTGTCCTAGATGATTTTCGTTTCCCATCATCACCATATATTTTGTTTTTTCTTCGTTTATTTCTAAACCATATTCCCTGACTATTCTCTCTATTCTAGTAAAGATTTCTCTTAATTATGCAGGTCTCCTTGTTATTAAGACCTAACATCATCTGCATATGCTACACATTGATGCCTGTGATGATATATTGTGCCTCTAGTGTAGATATTAGATTCTCGTAAAATCTTCTCTGAGATCAAATTGAAAAAATCTGTTGATAACGGGTTACCTTATTGCAGACCTCTATTCGTGATAAAGCTATCCGAAACCCGTCCTTCTAACATGACTTTACTTTTAGTATCATTGAGTATGCATTTAGTCAGTCTTACTATTTTTGGTGGAAATTCAAAATGTTCTAGTGCTTAATATACCATATTTCTTTTTATAGTATCATATGCCTGTCTAAAATCAATAAACAGCATGTGTAATGTTAGGTTGAATTCATATGAGCTAGCTAAAATTTGTTTCATTGTAAAAATTTGGTCTGTTACCGATCTGTTTGCTCTGAAACCTGCTTGATATTCACCTAGACAATTTTCAACTTTTGTTTTAATTTTATTTCTAATTGATATGGCCAGAATCTTATACACTGTATCTTGTAGAGCTATTCCCCTGTAATTTTTACATTCTGTAACGTCTCCTTTTTTATGCACTAGACATAAGATTGCTTCTTTCCACTGATTGGGTATTTTTTCTCTGATCCACACTTCGCGTATTAACTCAGCGATTTCTTCTTGCACCATTTCGCCACCTTCTTTTAAAAACTCAGCAATGATACCACTTTCACCAGGTGCTTTGTTGTTTTTTAAGTTTTTTATGATCTCTATAATTTCTTCCTTGGTAGGTACTTCTTCATTTACATCTGGGTCCCTTACTTCTTCATTAATTACAATAATAGTTAATAATAATCTTACTTTTCATTTTTTTAAATTTCATTACTATAATCTTTACTTTAATAAACTTTCTTTCTTCCAATTTTCCCTATGCAGACATATTTTTTACAGTACCGCGATATTTACAACAAGAGTGTTAAAACAAAAATGAACCAATATTGCGCAATATTACTCACAGACGCAGCAATATTTACAATATTTCTCAATAAAAATCAAAGTCATGTTGATTGACACAATATATTGCGCAATCATTCAATGGATCGAATAGACGATATAGACGATCAATATATTGTACAATATAAATTATTGTCCAATATATTGACAATAATATTGACCGTCTAAGGGCCGCTTAGCACTTTCAAATTTTAGAACCTATAAAATATAAGATTTTTTACCTTTTTTTTGTTCTTTACTGCCCTAATGGCTCCACTAAAGTTTGAACGTAAGAATTCATTTACTAGCGATTGACACAGAAAGAGAAATAATCTATTAAAATTGTTTTAAAAAATATTATTCCACATAACACAGTTTATTTTCGAAATTTTAAGTTATATTATACTGTCAAACAATCGAAAAATAATTTAATTGGGTCAACACCGGTCCTGTCGAGAGGATCCAATAGGTATAATATCCAATTATGAATAACCTCTATTATTATTAAAGAGTATTGAGTAGATATCTAGATTATAAGTAGTTATAATACATAGCAAAATATATCAGCAACAACATTTACATTTAATGTGGTTCGACAATTTGGTGTGTAGACGATTTTTTTATTATTTACTTGAACTTAAAAATAGGGGATTCCCATAATAGTGAAAATTGTGGATGTCTACGCAGAGAATAATATATAAATAGGGGGAATTGAACGAGAACATGATCAGAAGCAGTGCTTTTCTTAGTGTTATATCGCTCCTCGCAGTGTTCGCGTCAACAACAGTGGGAGCAATGGCCGGTGAAAGTGACTATACACAACAACGACAAGCTATACTACACGCAGAAAAAAATATGTTTATTGGTAGCCAGTTGCAGTTAAACGATAGAGAAAAAGAAGTTGATGATATAGTTTTGAAAATAAAGAAATCTGAATTACAAGAAGGATATAAAAATGTGTCGAGTTTTTTGGCTGCACAACACTTTTTTGACGCGAGGAAGAAAATAGAACAATCGGAAATGTTTTCGATTATTAAAAAAATTCCTAAAGGTGGCTCGTTACATACGCATTACCTTTCGGCAGTGTCGGTGGATTTTATTATAAAAAACATTACGTATTTAGATAATATTTACGGTTGTGATTTAAATGGAACTTTTAAATTGTCTTTTGTTAACGATACCTACAAAAATACTAGCTGTGAATGGAAAAAGTTAGAAGATTATAGAAAGCAAGATCCAAATTTCGATGAATGGTTGTACAGTCAACTGTCTTTGGTAGTGGAAAATCCTGGTGAAGTGTACCCCAGTGCAAATACAATTTGGGCCAAATTCAAAAAGACTTTCAGCACCCAATACGACATGGTATGTTACAGACCAGTATTTGAAATGTTTATTTATCAACTTTTGAAAGAACTATATTTAGATAATGTTATGTACACTGAACTAAGAGGAACCATAATGCCCCTGTTTGATCTCAACGGTACTCTTTACTCTAAGAAAGAATACTTAGAAATATTCGTCCAAGTTGTCGAGCAGTTTAAAAAAGACTATCCTGGTTTTGTAGGAGTGCGATACATACATTCCGTGTACCGTGGTTTTTCGCCGGATGATCTGAGAAAAGATCTTGAAGATCTAGTGCAATTAAAAAAATCTTTTCCAGATTTTATAGCTGGTTTTGACTTAGTCGGTTACGAAGAAGAGGGACACACCCTATTCGAAATTCACGATGTTTTAATGGACTATACAAAAGAACTAAAATTCTTTTTTCATGCTGGAGAAACTAACTGGTTTGGACACACCGACGAAAACCTCTTAGACGCCGTGTTACTTAACAGTAGTAGGATAGGACACGGATTTGGTTTGAACAAGCATCCAGTCGTGGAAAAACTTGCTAGGGATAAAAATATTTGTATAGAATTATGTCCTATCTCCAACCAAGTACTCATGTTGATTCAGGACCTACGGAACCATCCTGTTGTGGGGCTAATGGCTAATGGATTCCCTGTAGTTATTTGCAACGACGATCCCTCGGCCTGGGAAGCAACTGGTTTAAGTTATGATTGGTACGTTGCATTTATGGCGATGACGTCAGAGGCGAATGGTATACAGGTATTAAAACAGTTTGCTATCAACTCTATTGTGTACAGTGCAATGGGCGATTCAGAAAAACAGGTCGCTCTGAGCCAGTGGGAACGCAGTTGGCAAAAATTTATTGATGAGATTTTAGCTCTATATGCAAACAAAGTTTAAATGATTCATGTCTAATAATTTATGAACAAATTTTATTTATATTTTATTTAAAACAGAAATAAATCATTAAATGCTTTTTTTTATTTTCCCTCTAAACTATAGTCTGTCCCATCTTGACTTTACAGTACAGGTTCTTATGACCAACAATGATGCCAAATTTTATCAGAAACAGGTTTAAAGCCAATATACTTTTTTCTATAGGATAACTATAAATATCTTATTATTAATATTATTGACATTTTGCGGCTGTCAAGGGTTCTAAAACTTTTTTTTTCGAAAAATACCTTTATGTGAATAAAATAAAAATAATTTTGTATAAAACATTTGTATAATAATGTATTTAAGCGCATAAATATGTTAAACCTTAATAAATACGTAGGTACCTACATAAATAATTAAAATGTTTTAAACTGTGTATTTTACGTTTCTTCTATACTCCCGTCTTCCTCACTTTCACTGGCACTGTCTTCATTAAGGTTTATTATAACTGGGTCGATATTGTCCAGTAAATTATCGATATTCCACATCTGTTTTTCTATGCTAATTACGTGTTGCACGTAATTATTCCATTTTTGTGGAGTAACTTCATGTATTCGCTGTGTGCAATGGGTAACTCCTTTTTTTAACGGAGTTTTGGGGGTGTGACAAACGTCAATTAAAAGATGCCCTATGTTAAGAAGTAGTAGACTACTAAGGAGCAGCAAGAAAAGGTGACGTAGTGCAATCGATAGGAATGCACAAAAAACAGCGTTGTGGACTGTTTCGGTGGAAACATAGAGAAATAACAAATAAGAGAGTGCTTCGTTGCATACATAAAACTGGCACAGTGTGACGTCACTCGATGCTAGCGACCTGATGAACTACTTACTCAACTAAACGACCAGAAAATGGAACGCGGGATATTTAAAATTATTATATTTCAGTAGAGAATCTCAGTTTACAGATAATTTTACAGGAAAGACTTTAAACTGAATTTCCTCATACTCTAACCTAAAATATATGTGAAAAATTATGTGTAACGATCTAAATATATGTTCAGAATCAAAATATGTAAATTTTATTTGTTGTTTTTAGGTTAAAGTATGCAAAAGTTCAGTTTAAAGTCTCTCCTGTAAAATTATCTGTAAAATGAGATAGAAGGATTTCTCGATGCTAAGCCATCGATATTTTCCTCATAAATTTTCAGAAAAATAGGGGACATGAACACTGGGAAAAAAAAACTACACATGTTTTATTTTTATTAATCCTCACAGGGACCCCCCCACTTACCGCATGCATGTATGGAGTGCTGATAAAACAAAATAGAAAAACATATACAGAACAATTGTTTTGAAATATAAAGTTTTGAGATATAAAACACAGATCAACACAAAATGCATGCATGTCCCCGCTCTTCTTTATTTATCTTAAATTTTACAAAATGCAGATATTACAAATTTGATTAGTAGGTAGCGTAAAAATATTCAAAGAAAAATATTACACAATACACAGAGAACTTTACTAAAGCTAAAATAAATACCCTTAAAATAATAACTCTTACAATAAATAAGTAAAATACTTTTAGGTGATAAACAAATCGAACAAACCTGCAATTTAAATATATGTTCATAAGAGAAATATTTGCCAATAAAAAACTTTTTGACTACACTATAGTCTCCAGTACAAGGACCTAAAATTTCATTGTGTATGCATTCCTTGCAACGTGTCTGACAAACTTTTCCTCTGTGAAAGGATCCTTTTCGATCCTTATATTGGATTAAATTATTTAATTTGATAAAATAAGCCTTTCTCTTCAATTTGGTTCTTTCAGAATTTATTTTGATCTAATAATTTACCCATAATAATGTTGTTAGATACATGATTTCTGAGATAAACAATTTTAACTTTGCAATAACTGTTAAGTGAAAATCCACAAGGAATCTACGTTCCTGTAGTTGGCTGTATACCATATATTAAAAAATTTATTAAAAATCCTTTGTAAAAGGTATATATTTAATGGATGTAACTATGAAAAGCTGCGTATTTATGCGACATGGGGTGGTTGGATGAAAATGGAATTATGTGGTCAGTCTGTGTAGGTTTCCTATAGATACTGAAGTCGAAGTGGTCATTTAATCTGGTAATGGTAAGATCAAGAAAATTAATTGACATGGATGATTCTAGTTCCATGGTGAACTTGATGTTGGGGTGAATTTGGTTGATTTTGTAGAGTAAAAGTTTAGCTGAATTAGAATTACCTGAAATGATGACTAAACAGTCGTCAACATAGCGAAACCAGTGGAGTATTTCAGGGTTTTTCATGATCTGTGTGGATTCTAAATTATCCATAAATACATCAGCTAATAGAGGAGAGAGACAACTACCCATGGCTAAACCATCAGGTTGTCTATTTGTTGTTAAAAACAAAGAAATCTTGATCTAAACAAAGTTTTAGTAGTTGGATAATGGAGTTGGCTATGAGAAGAGAATGAACCAGATTAATTGTTTCTTGTTTAGGGACAGACGTGAATAGATTGCTAACATCAAATGAAAGCATAGTAATGTTGGGGTGAAGGTTAAATATATACCTTTTACAAAGGATTTTTAATAAATTTGTTAAGTAAAACTTCTTGAAATTTTTATAGCTGAATACATGTGATATTGTCTCTATTATTACGCAAAATTAAAGTTTGTTGTGTATTTTTAGAAAATTTTTTAATAATTTTCAAAAAAATCGATTTTGAAGCTATTTTGAAACAATTTAGCAACAAATTAACAAAAATAACTTTACTAGCTCCCATTTTAAAGTATATTCTATACTTTTCAGTAAAATTGTGTCACTTTTCCATATAATTCAAAATGGGTCTTCACCTTTAGTATGTCTTTAAAATTAAATAGCTATCTTACATGTTTATATATTGTTTATAAGTGAAAAATGACGTTTAATCTTTTGCACATTTTGTTTATTACATACAACAAATTTATCAAAAGTAGTTGTTAGATACATGTATCAAAGAGTTTCACGAAAAAGGCTTTTTATTTGTTAATTTCTCTGGTCTATCTAAGAATTTATAAACTTGATTTTCTTTTCTTTTGATTTTTATTTTATGGTCTATGGCATGTGGAAAAATAATTGTTATAAACAAAGGATATATTTTTTTCAGAATAGGCATAATTATAGTTTGTAAAATGTAGGGAATATTTTCGGTTATAAATTAAAAAAAAATATTCGCCAACGATTTGTCAGACTTGATTTTAACAGAAAACGTTCCAAAAATAGAAAACGCATTGTGGTTGACCTCATTTAACATATGGTATTCAAAAGATTAGTAAACAAGATTTATGTAAACAATAGTTGATAATAATATAAATATTAATTATATAACCCACATTAATATTGACAAAGCTGCTTTTATCACCCTAACAGCAAGATAAGTGAATGTATTATGAAGGTCATATCGACCAACCAAAGTTTTTATTTAACGCTAAAAAAATATCATAAAATAGAAAAGAGACAGAAAAGGTCAGAATTTAGTAATGAGGCTTTAAAGTAATCTGTACTCATATTCATCATCAGTGATGAACAATTTGGCTTCCGAAATGGATTTGGGACACGGGAAGCATTAACCAGTTTTATTATACTGCTGCAAAAATGTCGAGACCAAAAAAAGGATCTCTTTTTATGTTTTATTGACTATCAAAAGGCCTTCGACAAAGTAAAACATGATAAACTGATGGATTGCCTTCACAAAAAGGGACTAGACGAGAACGATTTTAAAATTATCCAAACACTGTATTTTAACCAAACTGCAGCAGTTAGAACAGAAGCCGGTGACACAGAAATATTCAATATCAAGCGAGGTGTACGACAGGGTGTGTATTGTCACCACTACTTTTCAATATATATTCGGAAGAAATCTTTGCACGAGCACTAGAGCAATCAAGAGAAGGTGTTAAAATTAACGGCAGAGTTCTAAATAATGTACGATACGCCGACGACACGGTCCTAATTGCAGAGAGCGCACAGGATCTCCAGACACTCTTAGATCGCGTCAGATCGATCGGAGAACAATACGGCCTCAGCATTAACGTCAAGAAAACAAAAACAATGATTGTCTCCAAAACATCCATCCATCCACCCATGGCTTTAAACGTGAATGGTAACATTATCGAAAATGTCGAGAAATTTCGATATCTAGGGTGCTGGATAACGAAAGATATAGATCCAGACATTAGAAATAAAATCGCGAATTGAACAAGCAAGAAATGTCTTTTTAAAAATGAAACAAATGTTTACGTCCCAAACACTCAATCTCAAAATCCGATACCGAATGCTGAAATGTTACGTTTACAGCATCTTACTATATGGAATGGAGGCCTGGACCTTCAAAATCAACTCACTAAGGCGTTTGGAAAGTTTTGAAATGTGGTTATTTCGAAGGATGCTGAAAGTCCCCTGGACAGCGCATATGAGCAACGAGCAGGTCCTACACAAGATGGGTACCGACAGAGAACTCTTAAAAATAATGAAAACACGGAAAACCTCATATTTGGGACACATATACAGAAATGAGAAATACCAGCTACTGCAGCTTCTTATAGAGGGAAGGTAGAAGGAAAGCGTGGTCCTGGTAGACGGCAGGCGTCCTCGGTTGAAGAACATTCGTGAGTGGACTGGTTTGGATTCTCAATCTTTAATAAGAAAAGCCAGGGACAGAAATGATTTTGCTGAGGTTATCGCCAACCTTCATTGAAGACGGCACCCAAAGAAGAAGAAGTACTCATATTAGACCTTGGTTTTATTTATATCCCATGTTAAGGTGGTAGTCGTATTTGTGACGTTAACTTTAAGGTATCTCTTAATTCTTCTTCTTCTTCTTCGTGCGACTAGGATTACTCCTGTTTGCCTGCCTCTCAGGAGCAATCCCCTAGTTCATATAACAAAAAAAATTTGGTTTTTTTTTTTTTTCATTTTTTGCCTAAAGTAAGTGTTGTAATGTGTAATTTCTGTACAGATTATGAAAGCACTCTAAAAGACCTTTAATTTGAGCCGGTATACGTTC